TCCTTTTATTTCTTTTCCTTAATTATATTTTTATTTCCATTCATAGAAAAACAGGATATACAACAGTAATACCAGGAAGAACAGGCAGGCAGGAAAAAGGCAGCAAGGAAGTGTGTGACCCATGTAGTTTCTTTCAGGTCAAGGTTGGAATATGTTCTCCTGCTCTACGCATCCTGTACTTTGTTTATGGCTAAATATTATTATTATTATAATCCATCAGATTTCACTAAGCACTAAGTGTTCCTACAAATGGCAATCCATTAACAGAATTTCTAAGGTCAAACGAGCAAGGGTGGAGCTTTTAAAAAATGTGGTGGTATTCAACAGTTTCGCTCAGAGTATACCCATTGAAATTATTAGACCTACCTTGGTAATGCCCTTAATTTCAGTGTGTCTGAGTAAAACTAAGTTGCATACCATCCAGTATCTGCAGTTTAATAATACAGTCATACCTCGGGTTACAGCCGCTTCAGGTTGCATTTTTTTGGGTTGCAGACCGCCGAAACCCGGAAGTACCGGAATGGGTTACTTCCAGGTTTCGGCAGTCGCGCATGCGCAGAAGCACCAAATCGCAACCCGCGCATGTGCAGATGCGGGTTGCGAACGCTGTGGGTTGCAAATGTGTATCCCGCATGGATCACATTCGCAACCCGAGCATCCACTGTACTTTGCTTTTCTTTAAAAAAATAAATAAATGATGAGAAACTTAAGCTGTAATTGGAAGCAGAATATAAACGGGAGAGAAAAAGAGGGGCTTTATATAAAAGGTTGCTGGGAGGTAGATCTCTGGGTGATTTGAAAGGAATAATTAGGGAAGGAGGTCGACAACCAGGAGTGGATTTTTGTGTGGAAGGACGATTCACACCCCAGCCAGCACCTCTTTAATCTACCCTCGGGCAGGAGATATAGAAGTATAATCAGTCATACCAACAGGCTAAAAAACAGTTTCTATCCGTGGGCTGTTAGGCTGCTGAACGGAAAATAATATAGTGCAACTGACTTTTGGGGTTGGAGACGTCTGTGACAAGCACACGGAGTGCAATGAGATTGAGTGTTTGTGTGTGGGGGAGGGAAGCTTGGTTAATTTCATTGTAGACAGGTTGTACATGGACAATAAAAGTATTATTATGATGATGATGAACTTGAATCTGGAATCGGTCCCAAATCCTGGGCTGCACATGTGCTCAGAGGCACCATGTTTCTCAGTTTTGAGTGTATGCTTGCCTACCTGATCCCAGTGGTGGACCTTGGGGTCTCAAATTTCACCAGAGCCCTTTGCGATGCCAAAATTCCATGCTCCCTGCCTCTCTTGCTCCTTTCTGAATCATAGTTGCAGTGTCCCCTGTGGCGCCCTTGAGTCTTCATAACCACTATGACAGAACTGGTTGGTTGTGCTCCCCTAAATCCACCTCTGCTGATCCATTCTATGATTCTTTTTCACCTGGCTCTTGTTGATAGAACTCAGGAGTAGTAGATCCTACAGATCTGAAATCTGCCCACCCCCCTTTTATATCCCTTTCTCCTCATGCCATTCCCCTCCCTCATGACTGAAAGTGCCTCTCTCAGGCTTCTTTTACTCTAAGACACAGATGGGGAAACTGTGGTCCTTAAGGTGTTGCTGGCTCTCATCTGCCACCTGGTCCAGCCAGCATCGCCAATAGGACAGGAATTATTGGAGTTGTAGTCCGGCAGCATCTAGAGAACCACCAGTCCCTTGGCCTTGGCCCTGGGGGAAATATGTGGGTACCTTTTGAAGCAGGGCTGGTTGCTTGGTAAAAGAGTGGCAATTGTTTTGATCCCTATCCAAGGTTTCCCAGAGATTTGTCTTCTCAATTAACAATTTCTAGCAGCCACTATCTTCTCAATGACATATTTAGCTGGGGGGGGGGGGAGGTTTGTCAAAGGCTGCTAAGCAACTATGGAACCTCTGTGACAAAAGGTAGCACACCAGGAGCTAAGTGCAAACATTAAGCAAGGCCAACTCTGTTCAAGTGTTCCTAAAGGGCTTCCATCCAGCTGAATGCACTAGGACAGGGGTCAGCAAACTTTTTCAGCAGGGAGCCAGTCCACTGTCCCTCAGACCTTGTGGGGGGCCGGACTATATTTTTTGGGGGGAAATGAACAAATTCCTATGCCCCACAAATAACCCAGAGATGCATTTTAAATAAAAGGACACATTCTACTCATATAAAAACACGCTCATTCCTGGACTGTCCGCGGGCCGCATTTAGAAGGCGATTGGGCTGGATCCAGCCCCCAGGCCTGTTTGCCTACCCATGCACTAGGAGATAAGAGAGAACTGTATATCTGTGGTCGGATCATTCTTACTAACGTCTCTGTTCGTGGCCTATTTATCCATCTCTTCTAAGCCCTCTAAATAAATGCTAAACGGCAGCAGTGGCAGTACATGGAAATAAAACACATTGGTATGTTTGGGGTTTGATAACTGGTGCTGCTGTAAGAAGAAGAACTGTGCTACTTTGGTGGTTGTGGAGTGCAGGCTGATGAGTGTTAAATTCAGAGACCAGCAATATGCAACTTTAAATTGCATATAAAGTTGACTACTAGCCATGATAGCTATGCTTTGCCTTGAGTCGGCAGCAGTATGTTTCTGAATACCAGTTGCTGGAAACCACAGGAGGGGCGACAGCTCGAGTCCTGCTTGCAGCCCCCCCCCCCAGCATCCAGGTGGCCAATATGAGAACAGGAGGCTGGATTAGGTGGGTCATTGTCTGTGGTCAGGGCTGTGGACAGGGACTTGGGCTCTTCATTCATGCACAGAGTCTACTTCACACCTATAAATTAAAGGGGGTGGGAGAGGAAAACACAAATGCTTACGTGGAAGAGGCCAGAGAAATTGTTTTCAAAATACTATATGAAAATAAAAGGCTCTAAATTGTTTGGCTACCTGGCAGGCTGTCTTGGCAATTGAAAATTATATTGCCGAGAACCTAGCAAAGAATACGGTAACTATGCCAGAATAACAACAAAACAGATCGTCCGGGTCATTATGAAAGTAAGCAAAAGAGCCCCACTACATTATTGTAATGTTAATTTATCCAGAAATGGTAACAACACTGGCCTGTGCCATGACGAGAAATAGTGTTTGAAGGGCAATCTCCCCCATGCTTTTGTAAAACGAAATTGAAATATGTATAGTATTTCATTAGCACATCTACTCTGAAAAGCACTGGGCTGCATGGAAATGTGACATTTGCTTAATAAGTTTGCTCAGTGAAACCCACAGGTGACGGTTTAATGAACTGTGGGAGAATGGCAGGAAAAAGGGAATTCTGCACACCTCTGTGAGATAAGCTTGTAGATTGCTATGGTTACAGACGTCTAAATCTCCATTCCCTGACAGCAGCATATCCGTTTACAGCAGCCAGAGCCATTTTTCTTCCTGTTTCTGAAAGGCATCTAAAGTATTCATGGCCTATTGGTGAATCTTGCCTCTGAAAAACAGGTTTGCTCATTTAGGGCAGGAAATAAAATGAAAAGGTGGGGGAGGAGTGGGAGGAGGAAGGAAAACACTCCATTTTTATAGTGACAAAATAGAAAAGTACTAGATCAAATGCAGCTTTCCTGTTTTGATATTCTCACTTGGCTAAACGAAAATATTCATCCTTCTTCACAGAATGCAAACTGAACAATTGCTTATCTCAAAATGTCTGCTTGAAAGGCTTGCCTTAAAATAAAATTTAAAAACCCATGCTCCAAAGACTTTGGAACTTCATAGTACTATTTAGAATTTCCAAGGACCTCCATAGAATTGCAAAATGTTACACTTGGATGCAGCTCCTTGAATTTTTTTTATATCTTAGGATATTTTATTCCTAAAGTCCAGACTTTCTGACAGATGTTAATGTTGCACGTTTTATTTGTTATATTTTGTGCCCTTTTTGTTGTTGTATTCTTTGCATATGAATATATTTTTATTGGGTGGCATTTCCATTCTGGCAAGCCATCCTGAGTGTTGCATGGATGGAATAATTTCTGTGATTGTATGATTAACCACAGCTGACCCATGGTTTGTGAACCTTCGCAAAATTACAGGGTGGTAGTCACTAAGTCCTACTCAGAGTAGACTCTTCAGTGAATTAGGCACTTGATGGTCTTTAATTCTTTTGTGTCCTTAACCTTGTTAAATACTTTAGGCAGAGAGGCTAGTAAAGGCATAACACAGTGTTGACATTTACCTAGAGTTAAGGAAGTGGCCCATACTACTTCCTCTCCCAAGTTAACCTCCCTTGTTGTAGAGCAGTTCCTCCTATTTTCTCTATGGTGGTATGGAATTAAGGTTGAATGACTGCAAACCCCACTTAACACAAACTGGGAGACTTTCTGAACTTGACTTTGGAAACCATAGTTCCCAGGTTTCAAAAATTGTTCAGAGTGCCTTTGTGTTGGTGTTAACAAGGTTTGTGTTAATATTGATCAGATTCAGAAGGGACAAATGGCTACATTAACGTAAAGGGGGTCGGTTGGAAGATATAGTTCTGGGAGCAGCTTTCTTACCTGCTGAGTGTATTATGCTATGACCAGATTAGCCCATCTTCTCAAGACCACCATCCTAGTGAATTTCATGGTGGGCTGATCCGCTCATATTCAACCAAATCTCTTTTTGGAATAATACAAGCATAAATAGCATTTAGGAGGCTGCACTTCATACGTTGTGCTTAGGAAGCAACTACTGTGAACAAAGTGTAATACAATGCTATCTTACAAAGCATGCATGTGTAAATCATATCCTTTTCGTATCGGTAATCCAGTTTCCAGTCAACCACTTGTGTACATTTTGTGGGTGAATGCCCTAATTTACATGTTAGACAATTAATAAATGACTCCTGCCCTGTGCTTGACAATTGGTTTTCCATTACAAAATGAAATACCTGAAAAGGCCCTCTGAGCTTATCTGTTTCCAGAGTTGAACTGACAACTAGTACAAAATGGGATGCCGTCTTTATGAAGACTGCTAGCTCAATAGGTAGATACGATAATGGGCTCATCATAATCTTTTATTCATGAAGCAAGCCAATAAACTCTGTGTCTTGAGATGGTTCACCTGCAGTTGCTACATACAGCAGCAGCCTCCATACTTTCTGCAATAATCTTTCCCATCAACCATGCCCCCCCCAAAAAAATTGGGAGCCCACTCTTTGACTTTCATGCCAATCTGGAAGACATAAACTTTGCATGCAGTGATGCAGTGCTAGCTGGTTAGAAAGTTCTTGCACAGAATTGAATAGGGAGCATGTGGTTCTCTTTCCTTCCAGGAGTTTTGCTGGTTTACAAAACGGTTTCAAAGAAAGGGGCAACTGTCTCTGCTGCAATTGCATCCCTGCCATAAAGCTAAGTCAGATGGAAGAGACAAAACTGATTCCATAAACAACTAGCAGGATTCTTTATCAGGTATCAGGATTCCTATATCAGACTGGATAGCTGCAGATACTTTGTAAGAAAATTACAGCCTATACTTTGAAATAAATATAACAGAAATCAATAGGATGTGCATCCACAGTGTTTCAGACTTGCGGCACAGAGAGATTGCTTTGTTCCATCTTTATTTGCTGAACTTCATATTTGGTGTTAACTCCTCTTCAGTAAGATGAAATTATGAAAACTTAAAGTTTTCCTTATTAATGGCTGGGCTTCGTATACACAGTTATTACACTTATGTGACAGTACTACTCCGGGCAATTCATTTTTAGATGGAAAACAAACACCATTTTATCACACTGTAATAACTTGTTTTTCCTTGAAGAAACAAATTTTTCAACATGCTAGCATGTTAGTAATTTTATCACATTATTTTTGGCCAGAACTGAGCTTGGGCTAAATCAAACGGCAATTGGAAGCCGATTATAAACCAGGTCTGTATTAAAAGCTTCTTCGCAATCTTTTTTCCCATTGCATAGTTGAACCCATCATGAAAAAAATGCTGATTTCTCCTGGTGAGAGACAGTGTCAAGATGATTCATCATCCCTTGTAGCTCTAAGACAGGGAACTGCACTTGCTTTTCAAACCATTTGGCAACTGTGAGAAGCTGTTCCTCGTGGAATGCGCGGCCAATAAACTGCAGCCCAATTGGTAAGCCTGTCTCTGAAAGTGCAGAAGGAACATTTACAGCCGGTAGCCCTGAAAGACAAAATTGATCATTATTTACATCGTTTGATAAAATCCCACACTATTCAATGGTAAAACAAAAACCAATACACAAGGCATTAATTTGGCATTATTGCTTCTCCTAGCAGCAATATTGCCAGAGGCAGTGGAAGACAGGAGTGCCTGGCGTGCTCTGGTCCATGGGGTCACGAAGAGTCGGAGACGACTAAACAGCTAAACAACAACACAAGCAGCAATATGCTAAACATATTTCTTTCTCATCTACCCTCAATGGGGAGAATGCACAGGTATAAGAGGAGAAAGCACATTTTCACTGTCTCATGCTGTAATTAAGGACAAGGCATACACATCTTCCATTTCTAATACGCTCTTCCTCAAGGGATAGCCTTGGCCACATGGATTGGGCTTCTTGAGCAGTTATCCAGGCAGCAAGATTAATGAACCTTTTTGCCTCCACTTTAGGAGTGCAGTAGAATCATAGAACTGTAGAGTTGGAAGGGACCCCAAGGCTCATCTAGTCTGACCCCCCTGCAGTGCAGGAATCTCAACACCAATGGCATATACCCACCCAACCTCTGCTTAAAAGCCTCCAATGAGTAGAATTGCCTCCCCTTTGTTTGCTATTGTTTTTTTATTGGGGCATCCACACAGTGCTGTCATTCAGTCATTGTCTTTTCCCTGTAGTCCTTCTGCCTTTTCCCAAACAATATAGTCTAACTTTTTTTTTCAGAACAGCACAATCTACACCTATGTAAGTAGCCTTAGAGCTATTCTTCTTTTAAGAGAGTGGTTTTGCTATATGCAGTGACATACCAGGGAAGGTCAATCCATAGCTCAGCACACATTTACCATAGCCTTTGTAACAGGTGCTTTTATTACCCTATATATTATTTTAAATAGCTTTCAGTTACTGCAGAAACACACTTCTTGCTATTTTTTATTTTTAAAAAACCTTAAAATAGTGAAATGCCATGAAAGCACATTATTATGCTATAACATTATAATGCTTTTTTAAAAAAAAAATTAAAAATAATGTGGGGGGAGAAACCTTTCCTATAATAGTGGTGATCAGTACAGGGTTTTCCCCCAATCATTTTTGCATACTGCTGGGAAGCCTTCAGGAATGCTGCACAAAGAAGATGTCTGTCTGGGAATGGCAAATTCAAGAAGCAAAAACTAAGATTAGATAAGTATTTGAACCACTCAGATGTTCTCACCAGCCATGTTGGCAGCCTGAGTAAAAATATCATCCTGAGTGCTGCGGGTTCTGTTATCCTCTTTGATGAATTCCACATATGGTACAGTGTGCCTCATAGTTGTTGGAGTGAGCAAAATATCGACACCAGAATGGAAGACTTTTGCAAAATCAGTGGCAATGAGTCTTCTCACTTTCTGGGCTTTGATGAAGTAATTCTCATAGTTCCTAGAGGGGAAAACACATTTTGTGAGAACTAGCAACAGGACATTGAGTCTTTTAGCCAATTGCAGCATTTGGATGTGTGTGCAAAAATTGCAAACAAGATGTTATCTTTTCTCCCTGAGTCTACAGCTAAAGAAAACCAATTAAGTCAAAGCATTGTAACGCTGGCCTGTTGTTCAGATAAGAGGACTATCTGACTTCAGTGCTTAGCTACTCTTAGAAATGAAGAGTACAGTTGTACCTTGGTTAACGAACAACTTGCGAGTCAAATGTTTTGGCTCCCGAACGCCGCAAACCCGGAAGTGAGTGTTCTGATTTGCAAATGTTCTTTGGAACCCGAACGTCCGGTGTGGCTTCCAATTGGCTGCAGGAATCGGAAGCCACGCCTTAGTTTCCGAACATTTTGGAAGTCGAATGGACTTCCAGAAGGGATTCCATTTGACTTCCGAGGTACGACTGTATTGCTAATGTTTAAAATCTTGACAAATGAGAAAAGGATAATTTAACCAAACAAGCAGATGCATAGTAACAGTTTAGTGAACGTGGGGTAGTGCAATACTGGACCTCAAATTCAAGTATTGGGTGTGTCTCAGCTGTCTTTTCAGATGTGCTATGCAGCTACTGCTTGTGGCTTTTTTCTCCCTCACCTTCTGGATTATCAGAAGGTTGGATTAAAGCCATCTGCCTCAACATACCTATCTTTACATAGCTAGAGAGAGCCATTCATGTTGCTGATCCTGGTCTTATAGTAGGCCTTTTAGAATGCTCTTCTGCACTGTTGCATCTCAACGAGACTAGGGTGGAAATGATGATCACAGTTTATTAAGCAAGAGAGTACATCAGATTTTACTGGTAAAGGACCCCTGGACAGTTAAGTCCAGTCAAAGGCGACTATGGGGTTGTGGCGCTCATCTTGCTTTCAGGCCGAGGGAGCCAGCATTTGTCCACAGACAGCTTTCCGGGTCATGTGGCCAGCATGACTAAACCGCTTCTGGTGCAATGAAACACCATGACGGATATCATGGGCTAAAGAGTTGCATAATTACAATCTTACGACATGTGAGACATGTTCAGTCTTAGTCCATCAGGGCTTGCTTCTAAGTATGCCTGCATAGTTAGGAACACAGCATCATTCATTTAGATCAGCAGCTCACACGATCCTAAACTGCATAATCTTAAGCGCCTATCATTAACTCCAACGTGTATGGCAGTAACAGTTGCCGAAGTGTTGTGATATTATACAGTAATAGCAGGTGGTGCACTCTGAGAGCAAGACACAAAAGGATGGAAGAGTTGAACTAGGGTTAAAATATTTGGCAAAATGCCCTTCTTTACTGCAAAGCAGTTTGGCAACAGGCTATCCAGAAAAGTTGTAATTTCTTTTCTTCTTGAAGGTTTTCAAAACAAGATTGGTATGGTATGATGAGCTGACATGGGCCCCAATCTGAATAGCTTCAGCTATTGCTTTGAGTTTCTTCCTTCCGTCTAAGCACACATTGGGCATCTTAACTCAAGTTGGGATTTCTCTTTGGTCATTCCTTCCACCTAATTCACAGCTGCCTTTAATTCCACCTGGTTGCTCAGAGCTTGCACATTTTATTGTCACCACCAATCTCCTCCGAACATGTGCATAGGGTCATCTCACTTTATCCTTGTGAAGGTCCTGTGGAGTAAGCTAAGCTGACAGACAGCCACTAGCCCAAAGCCATCCAGGGACCATCATGGCTGAACAGGAATCTGACTAGGTCTCGCCAATCTATCCAGTGCATCACACCAGCATAGGGTTGCACAAATTGTGCTTATAAGGCCTGTTTTGCAAATGCCCCATGATCTTAAGAAACATCTAGAACATTTACCCATCTGAAGGTATTAGACCTCTGGGCTTCTGGTCGCCCACTGTTCACATCTGCTTCTTTGGTCAGCTCTTTCACCCCAGTTGGCCAGGATACAGTTTTATAGTAAGAACAAAATAGCTTTCTTGGGAATTTAACTCAACTGTCTGGGTTGCTTCCATGAAGTCATTCAAATGGACCTGCAAGAGGGTGAGTCACCTATGATAGTTCCCGCCTTAGCTGACATTTGAACCCAGGTTTCTCTAATCCAAAACACGAGACCAAGGGGGGAAAGGCTTTATAGTTAACACATGCACAAAAAGTTGAGGTTTTCACTTCTGATTATTTAAAATAAGCCCCTGGTTAAGAGGGCACATAGGAGAGAATAGAAAACAAGAAAACGCTTAGTAGATTGTGCATAATTTTAGGAAATAGTGTTTTGCTGTATATTACAGCTATAGCAGCATCAGCAATAATAATATTGTCTTAACTGCATGGAAAAATCTGTCCACATGAGTAATTTTACCCTTAACTGAACCACAAATAAAATGCTAGCTTTGTAAATTTGAGCTTTCAAATGTGCTGAACTTACTGTTTTAGCAAGAAGTAGTTTCCTGATAGAATTCTTCCCCTTACAACATCATTAAAGCCTTCCCGGCGTGTGGCTGCATACAAGGCTTCGGTGGACTTGTCAGCGCTGCTGCGGTGCCCTAAAATTAAAAGTCATCAGTAATTTGGAAATGCATCTTAAACCATTCAAAGTCACCTCATGAATAAACAATAGAAATTACTGTGCTGTACAAATATATCCGAGGTTTATTTGCTGCTGTTGCACACAGCTAAATGTCAGGTGCTGTTTATTCATGGGCCAGGAAGCTAAACAAATCACGTGGGTTTCAGCAGCAGCAGCAGCCACCACAAGTAGCTATTTGACTTGGGACAAGTTGAATGGTCTTGGCTGAACATTTTTAGCATGAAGAGGGATAACTGGGAGACCTTAAATGCTCCCTCACCCCAAAAAAACTTCCAACATTTTACATTGTTTGTACCAATTTTCTTGCTGCCCGCTGCCCCTCGGAGCAGCTGCTTTATTGCCAGGTTTTTGTTCACTCCTCCCCGCACCTTTTCTTCCTCACATGTTCCCTGAATATCAGGGATCGTGTTGCGAACACGGCAGCATTATGCCACAATACAGCCAGTTAGATTTGGCACTGTCTGATTAGATCCTCTGAGGGCCAATAAAGCCAATTCGGAATGAAAGCAAACTTTCCTTCATAAAATTGTCCTCATTCTGGAAGGGCGTGTGCAGTGGGGCTGCGCTTGAGCACATGGTAGGAAAGCTAAGGGCTTGGAGCTGCTATTGCAGCCACTGCTTGCCCATCGCCTAAGTCAGGAATGTGGACCTTGAGGATTGCCAGATATTGCTGGACTACAATTCCCATCATTCCTGCTCATCAGTCATGCTAGCTTTGGCTGATAGGAACTGGAGTTCTACAACTTGGAAGGTTCTCCTTTCCTGACCTGGACCATACAGGTGTTTCTTTTCCAGCAGCTTCACCCTTAGAGCTCCTACTATTGTTAATCTGAGCGAGCAGTTTACTCCCTCTTTGGAACCTCCTTCAAAACTTCTGAAAGTGGAAGCCTCTTTTCAGATTGGTGAATGGGACTGTGAAGTTCTGTTTCAACTCAGCCCTAAGGCAGACACATTTTCAATCTAGCAAGAATAATACAGAGTACGTCAAGGGTACCTATGCCCTGTCACGGGGTTCATCTGATAATATCCAAGAATTCATATTGATTCAGAATATATTATCTTAGATTTGGAAAGGACACAATGAAGTGGCTGCAGATTTCAGCAGGCTTATATGTTTCGCAATATATTTTGACACAAACGTTTTGAAAAAGGGCCAGGACTTGTTCAGCTTTGTTATTCTTTTCCTGATAAAAATGCTGGGAACAGGCATTTGAGAGTCAATGTGTTGAAGTACAATATTTCAACTGACTTGGCACTTAGAAAGTACACTGGAAAGTACAGGGAGGGTGATACCGAACAGGAGCCATTGTCTCTGACCAGGAAGTGCAGAGGTATTTCAATAACATTGTATTCCCTCATCAGTTGACCCTGAGTGCAGAAGAATAATTGAGCTGAACAATGCATGTACTTTGTCCTGCAGAGCACTCTTCCAAGGACACAGCTGAGACAACACTTCTGTCATAATAAAAACATGCTCACAGAAATAATACAGAAAGTTTGGCCACCAGCAGACCTCACTGCAACTAATAAGAGACTTTCCTCAGTGCTAAAAAGGCTTTGGCAGAGACATAATCTTTCTGTAATTAAAAAGCACATCAGATATGCTGGTTCATATTGTGGCAGGTTGCACATTTCTCTAACATAATTAATGGATCTGCATTTAATCAACTAGGGACATGCTGTGAATTGAGACTCACAAGCAGGTGTACGTAAGCAGACAAATGCCTTAAAGATAATTTTTGTTTCAAGTTACTGTACTTGGCTCTGGTTTTTAATGCAGGACAGTCTGCCTTGCTGCTTACTATGGCTGAAACTTGTTGGGGGCAGGTTAGCAGGGCTCAACCAACTTCCTTTCAGATCATCACTCTTTGAACTGCTTCCCAGTTACAAATAAATTATCCCTGTGTTTACGCTGGAACAGGGCATTCGGTCCAAAAACAGGTCGCCTCTGAGAACTGATCTGTTGCTTCCTTCCCTAACCTTGTTCTGTGGAGACATTGTTTGCCCGCCAAATCTAGAGACCAGTGATTTTCATATACTTTGCCACTCCGCAAACCAAATAATCAGCAAGTCTACAATCAGCTCCAGGGTTTGTGTATCAGTCCTCCTGCTGCTGTGCTTGCCTTTCTCCCAGAAGTAGCACGTCATTCGCACACATCTACAGTAATCAGTCCACTTTTTAATTATTATTTTTGTTGGTATCTCAAACTTCAGGAGGAGGTATACTACGGTTGATGCTTGGTTGGGTGGAACATGCGCTACAGGCAGCTGCCTGACCTTGCTGGGGGTGTGAGTCCTAGCCATGGGTCAGCCAACCCCTACCTTCAAAGGTGGAAGTTTCACTACTCTGTTTGGGCAGAATGGACAAAGAGAGGAGAGGAAGGGGTTGGGGAAAGCAGAGGAAAGCATACGTGGTTGTCCTAGGTAATGTTTTTGCAGAAAAAACCACTCCCCTTTTGAAAGGTGTGATTTTAACTACAGAAACACATTCCCATTCAAAATGCATTCGGATTGAACTTATTTCTAGTTTAGATTTATTAAATCAATGTGTAGTCATTAGTGGGTTATGGCAAATGTATAAAGTGGACCGGCATTGCTCAATCATACTGTGGGGAGCACTAGTCCCACCCCCTCATCTCTCTCTCTCTCTCTCTCACACACACACAGACAAAACACCTCTCCACCGCATTAAGAACTCCCACCTGATTTGCACACTGGATGTTTGTAGTAGCTGCTAGTGTTCCAGTTCTGTGCACCGTGCTACAATTCTACAAATGATGTAGATCATATAGAAAGATGCAGGCCAGCGCTGTGAAGGCTTTCAGCCACAGTAAGCAACAGAGAAAGGTGCAGGAGCAATAATAACTGGAAGAAGCGGACTAGAAACAGATCTGACAGCAGGTCTTGCACAGCTCATAGGCTGCCCATTAAAGAACAGGAATAATTTATAATATTATACCCTACTTGTTCTCGTTAGTAAGGCCTTTTTTGGCATAAGCTCTTGAGGGCAATGAATTTATCTAATTTACATGACACTTGTTGGAAAGAAGCCTTACCGTACTCCAGGCCATCAAATCGGGCCATGTTCGATGCTACTTCGGCTGCACACAGCACATGGTAGCAGACAATGGAGTAACAGGTGTGCGGGAGTCTGACATCAATCACTTTGGCGCCAGCTTTCTCAAAGAGGTCGGCTGCCTTGGACCACACGGCCAGAGTTTGACTAGACAATCCTGGTACGTTGTATTCCTAGAGAAGGGAGAGGGTGAAAAGCATAACCCTCTGCACCAACAACTTTATGTGCATCTTCTCAGTTCTCAGCTGAGCCAGAATTATCAAGTGGTTTGTAGCATGTTAAACTCCCAAGTGAAAATTTGTCCTTTTCAAAAAAAATTATTATTGAATACTTCCTTTGGCAGGCAGCTAGGATGGCATGTGTTTGGTTTTAGTTATAGATTCAGTGCCAAACTGCAGCTTGCTTCAGAGGCCAGCCTGTCTTTCTAAGGTAATTGGGAATGGCTGGAATGAGCTGAGTCATAAAGCCCAGGGAACCAAAATGATGAGCTAGGATAGAATGACTGACGGGGAGCTCATTGGCAAAAGGAGAACCAAGACCTGACAGGATTTTCCACAAGCCCCAATGCAGATGGAGGACTTCAGGCTAATATAAATAATAGAGGTAGATTTTGAAACAACATGACATATTAAACTAAATGGTGGGCAATGATTGCAAATAAGGCCCAGTTCTGCATTCAGGGATGACCTGGTTCCAGCAGTTTCCATTAATGGATATTGTGAAAATGTTCCTGCAGATCAGAACAAAATTCTTAGTGTTGTAACCATTTTAAATAACTGTGAAAAACATTAATACTAATTAACAGCTGGTATATAGCTTTGCCCCTTGATTTAGCTGAGCTCTTTTTCAACAGAAGGAGCTGTAAGTTTTCACTATTTCCTGGCAATGAGTTAACAAGCAGGCTGCACCATGGTAATTAAGGCTGTAGTCTTAACCCCCGTTACCTGAGAGGAAGCCTCTCTGAATTTCGCAGAACCTATTTCTGAGCAGATATGGCAAAGATCACATTGTAATTCAACACTTCTTTCTTTCACAGTGTGCATAGTTCTTTCTCTCTTATTTTTAGTGCAGTCTTTTGCAGTAAGTCAGAATGGTCAACTATGAGTTTTGCTCTGGATGTTATGAATTTAGTTCTCTAAAAAAACCAATGGGTTTTCAATATCATTGTCCATCTCACTGGGGGGGAAAATCCGAGTACCGTATTTTTCGCTCTAGGTACATCCACAAAGGAAAGGGTGGGGAATCGTGTGTATAACCCAAAATGAGGAACATGTGTAAATAACTTCAGAAGGCAAAGATCCCTCTTCACATTAATACTATTTTAAAGGTGGATACATAATTGCCTTGGGAGTGATGAGCTGCAATGGTGTGTCATTCCCTCCCTACTCCCAAGGGAGGCTGCCCCCATAAGAGCAGCTGCCTTTAAAAATATACCGTATTTTTTGCACCATAACACTCACTTTTTTCCTCCTAGAAAGTAAGGGGAAATGTCTGTGCGTGTTATGGAGGGAATGCCTACGGGTGGCATGCCTACGGATTTTCCTCCTCTAAAAACTACGTGCGTGTTATGGTCGGGTGCGTGTTATAGAGCGAAAAATACAGTATATAATCTTTCTGAAGGGGTTGGCATGTCAACTCCTATCATTGCTTTCAGGGGCACTTGCATATCCATTTACAACAAGTGTGGCAGGAGCCATGCTTTCTAGCTGTTCCTGGTTGTCTGTGCCTATTTTTCCAACACTCAGCCTGCCCCGTGGAATTGGGTGAGTGTCGATTCTGAAGTGAATGTTCCAGTCTTTACACTAGTCCTGGAGGGGCAGCTCAGGGGAGTCCACTTTTGGAATTCACATCCTCCGAATTCCTCAAGCATCCCGAAATGCGAGTGCACATGTCAACTTAGAAGAACACCTTGAAGGCTTTGGTTGAATAATTAAATATAATGATTCTTTCAAAGTGTATGTGTGACAGGCATTCAGTGAGTACTTCTTGTTCCTGACAGTTCTGAGGAAGCCCAAACAGAGCGTTTCCTAAAGCATATATTCATCCTGTTTAATGAATGTCGAATAAGACATACAGTACCATTGTTCTTCAACACTGATTGTTTAAATTTTTATACCGCCTTTCATCTGAAAATTGCTGGGTGGTTCACAACATAAAAATAAAAAATGAGAACACAAAATACACAATGAAAACATTATGCTTCCCCCCCTTTTCTCTTTTCTCTTTTTGTTTTTTTTAATTTTTTATTAGATTAGTTTGTTTTTTATTGTATGTTGAAAAGTTCCAATAAAGAATGATGCAAAAACAAGAACAAGATCCCAAACAAACCAGTAACCAACCCCGCTCCCACAAACACATTTAAGAGGAAAAAGAATGTTAACCAGCCAAAGGCCTGGTTAAAGAGAAATGTTTTAATGACCTATGTCAGTCATAGGCAATAGGAATTCACTAACATTTAATTTTGGTGTTTATTTCCCCCCTCCAAGTGACTATTTACATACCAGTTACCTTTGGTATGCCTATGCAAAGATCCTTCACATCTGTCAAATTGGGCAGCTGAAATGGGTGGACGGGATCCTGCACTGTGGTTGAATCTTTTGGATCATGGCCACTGAGTGCCCCTGAAACAAAGCAGAAAGACTCATGAACTACAGGAAAGAAAAGAGAATCCTTGAACCAAACTAGCTTTGAGAGAATTCCCTAGGGAGACAGGTGTAATCATTATACCCAACACGGTGGCTGCATCGTCCACACATCTGGCAAAGATGCCCGGCACATCCATAGAGTTCACCAGCGGAATAAGACCGTGACGGGAAACCAGGCCATACGTTGGCTTCAAGCCAACCACTCCACAATGAGAGGCTGGGTTTCTGGTGGATCCTCCTGTATCAGATCCCAGAGCCCTATGGTTGAAAAAAAATAATAATAATAACGGCAGTCAGGACATCACATCCCAATTTGCTCTGCAAGAACGTAAGAGCCTGGTTGGATCAGACCAAAGGCCCACCCAGTCTACCATCCTGTTCTCACAGGGGCCAAGAAGATGCCTATGGGAATCCGGGAAGCCATTGCATGCCTTCCCCAGGCTGTCTTTGCTTTTTACAGAAACAAGGCATCATGACCAACCCATCACTTCTAACACTTTTCCAATGAAGAAAGGCACATGCAATTAACCGCAATACGTAAACTGCTTGGTCTAAGAGCAACATACAGATTACTATTAATGCTGTCAGCCTGTGAAGTGCCTAGTTTGAAAGGGCTCTGTTCTATCTGGAATATATGCTTGCCAGGAAGAAATTCAAAGGGTGCAGTTTTCGCATTGTGTTCCTTCATGGAGCTTCAGCAGACTTTCCTCTCTCGTGCAGTTTAAGTACAGAAACCATTTCCAGATCAGGAGCAGACCAAAGTCATCTGAAGGTACATTATATGGATCAAGGGGATTTAGTTCTCAGAACCACCTTATGAGAGATCACTTGGGAGTCTTATGGTGCTGACTTCCTTGGGAGAAGAGCGAGCTATAGATATATAGCAGTGGTTACCAAACTTTTTTTGGCCATGCCCCACCTAACCACCTCTAAAATCCTGATGCCAACCCCCCCCCCGTGACATATAATTCCTATTATTCAAAAGTGAACTCCTAATCACTATTAATAACTCAATTCTCAAATTGCTCCCCTTAAAAATCAAATTGCCCCAACGTGGAGCGTGTGCCCCATGTTGGGAACCATGGATATATAGCAACAAGCCTTAGAAAGATGTTTTCCTGACTAAAAAGTATATTGTTGCATAAATTTCTGAATTAAATATTAAAATAATATTATTCAAATAAACACTCTACCTTTTAGAATAAACACACAGTGGCTCTAGTCAGCTGAAATTAAGCAATCTGAAAAACTATTCTTTCACCCTAAGGGATAGCTTAGTCAGTATAGCATGAGACTCTTAATCTCAGGGTCGTGGGTTTGAGCCCCACATTGGGAGAAAGATCCCAGCATTGCAGGGGATTGGACTAGATGATCCTCATGGTCCCTTCAAAACTCTTCTATGCTTCTATGAAAATTGGAGAGTTAAAAATGCACTTAGATTTTTCTCATGAAGACAAATAGGACTTCAAAGCTGGCTTGCGTTTTAAACTTTTTCAAAACTATATTTCTTCGCAAAACAGAAAGAAACATAAAGCACTGGTATCAGCACAGCTATGACATGTAGAATAAACTGAGGATCTGAAGCATGTTAGTCTGAAAATCCCACTCTATCTGAATTATTAGCCCACAGTGATGTCAACACAAAAGCCTGGGATGAAAAGGTGTTTTATTGTAAGGGATGAGATGCTGTAGCTTTCATTGAATCGAAATTCCTTCTCCTTTTTGTGTGTGCCTGAGTTGCTGGAAAGATCCCACAGCACTTGTCAAAGAGAGGAGGTTCAGAGGATATTGGCAACATCCTTCCTTCTTTATTGCCACAATAAATCCTTTCCAAGCAATACGAAATGCTCACACTGAGAGGATGGAAATTTGTTTAGAATGACATGACTTAAGTCAACCTTTTGGACATAAAAGGGGGCTTTACACTGTCCTCAGTACTCCTCTACCAAGTCCTGCCTTATCTATATAGAATAGACAGTAAGTGATCTAATCAGGGACCATGTTGCTCCTAGGCCCTAGGGTATGAACAGCACTTAGGCCCTCGTTGGCACTAAACAAATATTATGAAGTTGCATTATGATGCTTTTAATTAAACTGTTCTAAAAAAGCCTCTTACGTGAAGCATGTGAAAGACGATACGGCAGCAGCACTGCCTCCAGAGCTTCCTCCTGTTATCAACCAGCTGGTGTCTTCATTTTGAGCACTGGGTTTCTGCACACACTTTTCTCTGTACTGTCGTGAGTAACTCCAGGGGTTTCTAACTGGTCCAAATGCCCCATCTGTACTTCCAGAGCTAAGATGAGAAAATCATGGAGAAAGAATACATTTTGGGTAGTATTCAAGAGATGGACTTTGGGGATGATCTTGGAGACGAAATAAGGCAGTCCAATGAGCCATTTCCTTAACTAGGTAAAGGTCACATTGTATTATGCCTTCACTGGCCTCTCAGGCTATGGGCACAGAAAATTTAGATAAGGACCATCAAGTGCTTAATTCACAGGAAAAGTGCTATGGAAATAATAATGGCTTTTGTTTACAAATAGACACTGCAATGAGTAGTCTACTAAGTTTTACTCAAAGTAGACTCGCTGAAATTAATGAACATCATTATTATTTATTGAATTTATACACAGCTCATTACCTGGGGTCTCAGGACGGTTCACAGAATAAAATCAGGATATAAAATCACAAAATACATAATAAAAATAAAAACAACAACCCAATACCCCCCCGAAAAGCTACGTCCATTATTTTAATGGCTCTACTCTGAGCAAAACTTAGTTGAATGCCCTCTGAAGCTTATCAATTCAGCTACAGATTTAACAACTTTTTTGTCTCTCTTTCTAAGTACATATGAAATCCTTTGCTCTGAAACAGAACCAAAAAATAAATCAGTTGACACTCCTAAATTTGATTGGTTCACACAGTCAAGGGTGAGCAACCTGAAGCTCTCCTATAGACTCTGGAAAGTTTCACCCCATTGGGAAATCTCTGTTTGAAAAGTTGGAGAGCTGCCGCCTGTCAGTATAGGCCAACCTTCTCCAGTCTGCTACCCACCAGAGGTTTTGGAACATCATCTCCCATCAGCCTCAGCCAGCATGACCAATGATCAGGAATGATGGGAGCTGTAGTCCAAAAAATCTAGAGGGTGCCTGTTAAGGGAAGACTGGTGTGAAAATATTGAGTTAGATGAACCAATGGTCTGACCTGGTATAAGGCAATTTTCCATGTTCCTATGTATTTGCAGTGTGTAAGAAATTTTATCCCTGCAGCATGTGACCCAATTTGTATGGTTGCCAAGATAGGCTTGAAACCATGTGGCCAATGTCTGCTAAGCAGGAGGAAAACTGAGCAGCCAGAGCTTTAGCACTACATGATGTTCCCAGCCCAGCATCAAGAAAGGCAGTCTTGCATCTGTAGTTAAACAGAAGTGAAGCAACACATCAGGCATCCAACAGCATACAAATATTTAACTTGGCTTACCCCATGGCAAATTCATCTAGGTTTGTTTTCCCAAGAAGCACAGCTCCTTGATCCAGCAATTTTTGAACTACAGTTGCATTGTAAGGGGGGATATAACCTGAAAAACAAAGACTGGATTGGCTGAATTGTTTTATATTAGTGAGGTGTTTTTTAAAAAATGAGTATGCCATGTATATTACCATTAGTCCCGGTTTACATGGATTTCTACTGAAAATATGACTATCACAGGTATTTCATTGTTTTGTATTATGGGGTGCAATTTTAACTTGTTTCAGGAAACTACCTCGATAAGATTAGATGTTTGCTATCATAGCTGCCTGAGAGAAGATTCTCTTCTCAAAACTGCAGTGTGTCTTGGCAACCTTGACATCTCCCCTCCCTTTATTACTTGTTCCACAAATACTGAGTTCAGCTGCCCAACTAATAATACAGCAGGATTCTAGTACCCCTTTCAAAGCCTATACAATGATGTGCTCTACTAATAGTAGAAGAGTATAGGGTTTCATACATATTGGCAGTAATCCAGTAAGATGACCAGCAGGTAATAAGACATGTACTGGACCAGCATTTTTCTGCCCATTTTCAATTCATCATACCTCTTTACTAAACTGCAAACTGTTATTGAGACTACCCCAAGTTTCAAAGTGAAGACGGGGAGGTACGAAGGCTCTAAAAATATTCAAGTGAATCAATGAAATCAGTGGAACTAGTCGGTGCCTGTGGACTTAAAGATTAGAGTCTTTGTCTTGGTGTCTGTTCAACATTGGTACAGTATCTGAAGAGGTTTATACCTGGTGGCTCAGAGACCAGGGGCAGTGGCAGCTGCTGCCTGCAGGACTCCCAAGGACAGGGGGGAAGAGAGGAGCCTGAGGGAACACTCCATAAAGGAGGATGTTTGAAAAGGGGCAAGAGGCTGCCTGCTCTGCAGGCAAAGAGTGACATAACTGGGCTTCTGAGCCCCACAGGGGTGCCGCAGAAAGAATGTCGTTGGTCCAGGGAGCTGTGGACTCAAAAAGGTTGAAAACCTCTAATCCAATACTCATCAACATAGTTATCTACAAAAAAATGAATCCATTTAAGACAGAACCACAGTACTCCTATCTATATCCTTAACAGATTGAGGAACTGTTGTTGGCTTATCTTAAAAATGCTACTTTACCTTTTAGCATCTTGGATGCACATGTTGTTTCGATTCCAGTTGTGCTGAAGTTGTCTTTCACTGCAAAAGGAATTCCATCCAAATCCCCCAGTATCTGACCTATATTACGGATGACAGTGTGAAGATTATTTCAATCAGTGCATCATGCACACAGCCTTATTTAAACATTGAGGTTGTTCTAAATAATTTTTCACATGTTGTCTGAACTGCTAAGCCTGCTGTGCCAGCAGATTTGGAAAAGGTGTGAAAAAAACAACACATTTGTCTCTCAATCTCCTAAACCTTTTGTTCTTGCTACCCCTTTCCCCCTAGCACAACTGTGGGTAGTGCTAGGTCAGTAGTGCTGCAGCTACGGTGTAGCACTTAGGAATGTGAGCAGCTTGGCCACAGAGCACAGGAGCAGCAGTGGGGCTGTCCTCACATGCCAATGCATTAGTGCCAATACCAGAGCAAAATAACATGCATTATGGGTCTTGTTTTCAGAAAAGTGAACTGCTGCTATGGTCAATAGAGTGTAGGATTGGGTGCATCAATTCTCACTTTTTGGTTTACCATTAGAAATTTCCCTCAGTTCTAATTTGCTCTACAACGTTTTCAGCAACCCTCCTGTCACAACGAGAAAGGCATTTTGCAAATGAGGTAAGTTATGAGCTACTTTCTTTAACCATAATGGCTAGAGTTTTTCTTTTTAACAACAGAGGATTCAGAAATTTAAATGCTGTACTAGGTTTCAGATTCATAGGACCTACCAACATCATTTTTTCTGCTTGGGGCACTTTTAATGAAATGCCTGCTATTGTTTTGCCTACAAGTCTAAGTAGGTCTGTGGCCTGAGTAGTGCTTTAATGGGCATTCCAAGGACAGGTAGTGGGTGAGATTGAGCTGGCCCAAGAGCTGCTAGATCCAAACCTGATCTGAAACAGTGCAAGCAGGGCTGGCCCAATACACTCTGGCACCTGACCACCCCCGTCTCCATCTGGGAAGAAGGGGTAAGTGGAAATCTATATCAGGAACAAGGGGGAAATAAAGATCTATATCAGGGTCTACTCCCCCTGTGGTTCCAGCCACCCGAGGTGGTCACCTCACTTTGCCTTATGGGTGGGGCGGCCCTGAGTGCTTGTTCATAATAAACCATAGTTTATTTTAACTATAGTTTAATGTAATGTGCGAATAAGGCCTATCTAATATCACAGAAATACAGTGAAGTTAGCTGTACTCTCTCCCGCCCCAATATGAGTAAACAAATATTCTGGGCAGAAAGTGTAAGGATCACAGCCAACATACTTTAAGGAAGAGCAATTGTTCAGCAGAAATTACCTTGCCTGTATCTCTTCTCCGATGCCTCAGCCTGTTTTAATGCTGTGTCTTCTGCTACAGTGATATAAGCATTAAGAAATCTGGTAGCTTTTATTAAGGAGAGGCATTTCTGACACAGCTCTGTTGGACTCACTTGGCCTTCCTTTAGTGCTACAGATATCTGAAACATCAAAATTTTCTATTTTTAGCAGAATTTCAAGAGTAAGCTTTAAAGAACTATGTCTACTTGGTTTTCAAAGCAACTTCTCTACTTTGTCTGTACTTACACTACCTTTGATTGAACAAGCAACATCATGAGAATATTATGTGAAATATAACTATTAAAATGTGCAATTGTATAAAATGGCCTCAAGATGTGAACTAAATGTGGAGTAATATTGGAGTTAGTTTACCAAACAGGTGAATAATGAGGTCACAAATTATTTCTCAGTACTATTATCTGTAGATGCTTTGTTAGGTAATCACTTCATATTTTACATTATAGCCACCCCAGCAGTTAGTCTACTTTATTTTTAATTTTCTTTTTGCAACCCACACAGCAGCCAAACAGGCTTAGCATATGGGGTATCTTGTTGTTACTAGTTACCTCTATATTTGCTGAGGATGGTGCACTATCAATACAGTGATGGTTAGTTCACTAATTAAAAAAAGAGAAAGAAAGAAATTATGTATACTTGAACTGTGCAATCCTATGCATGTTTACTGAGAAGTGTCCCACTGTGTGGCCTTATTTCTTCTAAGCATGCATCAGATTGCACTGATCGTAAATAGGTAACCAATGTGTGCTGTTACTGTTTTGACATGCTTGGAATTTAAAATATATAATTGTATTTTAAAAATACAATTATGAACATGTATGTTTACCAGCAGCTAGAAATAAAATTAAAGAAAGGGGAAAGATGCTTAATAGACTGTACAGTCAGTAAATAAAAGTTCTTTATTGTCAAATTAAGATTTTTGAAAGCTTGAAATGCAAATGACTGAGTTTTGTTGGGCAGAAAATTCATGCTCTCTGTAGAGATTTCTCAGGGAAATTTTGCTAGAGTGCCCCTGCCCCATTGCTGCCATAGGACTGGAGGTGGTAGAATGTAGGATTCACTTATGGAAAGCTGGAGAAAACAGCTCTCTTTTAGCAGGCATTATTAACTGTTTCAGGGCTGGAAATACCTGTCACTTGAATTTCCACCTGCGAACTGACCTTGGTATATAACCAAAATCACATTCATGATTGCCTTGCTTTTAATCACGTTTTGCTGATGTTTCATGTACGCAGCAGGCAGAAATCCGACAGGTGAAGCTTTCCATAGCATAAAAATGCAATAAATGGAAGCGCTTCGTGGGTTGACTATCTGTCTTTCCTGCAGCTGTTAACAGGAACTGAATCGCTGTCGGAAAGCAAGCAATGCCCACCCGCTAAGAGGGAACTCTGTCTGCTTAAAGAGGGAACCCAGGAGGAAGATGAAGCTTGGGAAGAGAGGGGGGAATAGCTTGCTCCGTCCACGGCAGCGGTGCGGGGGGTGGGGGGAAGCAGCCAATCCCAGCGTCGCCTCACCTCTCGGAGCGAAGCTCGCAGCATTTTCTCTACCGATGCGGAATAAAAATAATCTGGTGACCTCGCGAAACTTCACCCGTATTAGTAGTCCCTGTTACCGGTAGTTTGCGAACGAGTTCATGGGCGCTGCCATCTTGAATAACGCGTTCTAACATCGGCGCCTCTGATTGGCTCAGACTTTCGGGGTTGAAATGACGTTGTGTTCCTATTGGTTGGGGGGCGGTCAGGCCGCGGGAAGCTGTGTCAATTGGGTGACCGGGAACACAGGGCGCCCGCCTGAAGGAGACGCTGGGCAGGCAGGGCTGCCTTGTTTTGCTCACGGGGCCAGGTCTTCCTGGAGGAAAGGCGAGGGAGGCCGGTGGGAGGGAGAGAACTTTTGGAAGTTAGAACATTAAGGACTTCTTATATCTAGGGGGAAGGGGTCGCCAGCCTCAGGGCTTGATAGTCTCACTAGGGGCTGGCGCATAATTGATATTTCCAAACGAAAAAACCCTGCTGTGTTTTACTTCCTGTATACCTCAGATTCTTGCGAAACCCTGTGAGGAATGAAGATGTAACAGGAAAAGTGAGGTTTTTCCACTCTCTCTGTCTCTCCCTGTCTTTTCTTTTTGGGAAGAAAAGAGAAACATCAAAATTATCTTTTAAAAAAAGAAAAAGAAAATACAAAGTTTATAAATGTGCATTTCAGATCAGAATTGACTGGCCTGCTTTGTAGGAAAGTGTGTGTTCGAGGCATATCCATTAAAGAGCACAGCATTAAAGCCATATATATTCCTTTTGTTTTTGCAGTCATGTTGCTAAAAGTACACACGTTTAGTAGGAAAGTGTTCAGTAGCTTGTTGCACTGCCCTGGCTTGGGTGTTACCTGCCTTGGGATGGGAAAAAGTTTAATCCAGCAGCTTCCGTGTAGAAACTTCCACGTCTCCTGCCAAAGATGTACGATGATGCCATCCTGGGTGATTGACCGTTACGGAAAGAATGATGTGCTGCGATTCACAAATAACATGATGTTCCCTTTAATCAACTTCCCTAATGAAGTGATTATTAAAGTTCATGCTGCAAGCTTAAATCCCATAGATGTTAACATGCGAAGTAAGTGCCTATATACATTGCATGTCAGTTAATACCATTAATATTTACCTACTCTGCAGATTGGTAGTAAGGATTAATGATTTGGTTTAAATTGTAAACTGATTTGAACTCATGAAATGAGCTGTATGAATATTATTTATAATTACTTATATTTTCATACCTTGGTGTTTCATGAGTGTGATGTTAAATATTATATGGTCTTTGTAAAGTCTGCATTATTTGTGTGAAATACTGCATTTCATTTTCAGTGCTCCTAATAGCCTTTTTAGCCTTATGCAGTTTGATTTCATTGGCCCTATTCTGGTGGGGTATGACTGTCTTGTAGAAAAAACAGGCCCAAAAAAACAAAACAAAAACCACCCAAATAAATCTAATTAAAATGGCACCATAAAGATTAACGCATATATTGAGGCATGATTTCTTTTAGGCCTACAAATGTTTCTACCATATGCAGAATTAATAGTGCCTAAATCCACTGAAATCAGTGGGCTTAGATGTTTCTTACTCTGGGCTGTATCCACCTAAGCTTTACTCAGAGCAGACCCATTGAAATTACGGGGCATAGATTAGTCCTGCTCATTAATGTCAATGGGTCTTCTGTGAGTTTGACTACCATTGGATAAAATGCTTAGTATTCAATCATGTTTCAATTTGTTACTCTGCTGCAACAAAAATGAAGACCGACATAGCAATCCAACTCTTCTCTCCCTTGAATGCTGGGCTGGAGGGAGAGGGTTGGATTAGGTTAAGGAGTCCCTGTATCAAGCTCACCTGGCTGAACTGGCCTCCCAGCAGGAAGGCAGGAGGGCCGCTAGCGAGTAGCCAGCAGGAAGGCTGCAAAATGGGGTGTTCAGACCCTACCTTTCCTCCAAGGAGCGTAAGGATTGTGTACGCTGTTCTCCCCCCTCCACCTTTTCCTCACAACAACCCTGTGAGGTAGGTTAGGCCGAGAGATAGCAACCGGCCCAATGTCATCCATTGAGCTTCCTGACCGAGTGGGAATTTGAACACTGGTCTCCCAAGTCCTAGTCCAACACTGCTGTTTAGTGCAGAGAAGGCTTCTTTGAGCATAGGAAATTGAACTGTGTGTAAACCAGCGACAACTGTTCTCTGTTTGCTTGGCAGGTGGTTATGGAGCTGCTGCTATAAGGATGAAGCGGGATCCGTTGCACATCACAAGCACAGGCAGTGAGTTCCCTCTCACACTTGGTCGGGATGTTTCTGGAGTTGTGATGGAGTGTGGACTAGACGTGAAATATTTCAGACCTGGAGATGAGGTAAGGATGAGCAAGGAAGGAATGGGAATTACTCTAAGTGGATTTATACAGTGGTGCCTCGCAAGACGAAAATAATCTGTTCCGCGAGTCTCTTCGTCTAGCGGTTTTTTCGTCTTGCGAAGCAACCCTATTAGCGGATTAGCGCTATTAGCGGCTTAGCGGCTATTAAAGGCTTAGTCGCTTAGCGGCTAAAAGGCTATTAGCGGCTTAGAAAAAGGGGGGGTCGAAAAAAAATCGCAAGACTCGCAAGACGTTTTCGTCTTGCGAAGCAAGCCCATGGGGAAAATCGTCTTGTGAAGCAACTCAAAAACGGAAAACCCTTTCGTCTAGCGGGTTTTTCGTCTTGCGAGGCATTCGTCTTGCAGGGCACCACTGTAAATCCTCGGTCTCAGTAGAAACAGATTACCTCAGTGTGCATTTTCTGCTTCAGTTGTGCACTGCCAAACCAGAAGTTACAAATGGTGCCTCTTTCTTTGACTCCTTGTTTTGCTTCTTCTGCAGTTCTAAGGGTTATGAGAGCCAGCACAAAAAGGAGGTGTTGGGAGTTCCAGTAAGGGAAAAGTTGGATAATCCTGTACATAAGCTGCATACAGAGGTGCCAACTTGAGCAATACCATGTTGGAAGTTATGTTGCAATTCCACTGTTTTGCTGGCATCCATCTTTCTCAGGAGGCGATGGAGTGCGTCTCTGGGGGTGAAGTCAAACCTCTGGAGAATCACAGCAGCTGCGGTGGTGGCTGCAGGGACCAGTAACTTCTAACTGCTGCCTCCTGTGTTAGCAGCACTTAAGTGACCTCCCTGCGGTTCAAGCCTGGGCAATGTGTATGGAGGTCCTGGGCTGCCCAGACGACAAAACCCCCCTCTCAGCCTCACCAATGTGGTCCAAAGGAAAGCAGAGCAATAGGTTTGGCACCAGCTTGGCTGCAGGAGTTGTTGGAAAGAGGCCATCCAACCATTTTAGGGACTTCACTCCAGATTTGTGTATGGTTTAGTCCTTAGCCTTTTATTCTCCCAACATGTCCTGCAAGGTATCATGCCTCTGAATACATGTTGCTTGGGATTACAGGTGTGATTGTTCTTTGGCCTTCTTTCAGGCTTCCCATAGACATCTGGTTGGCCACTGTGAGAACAGGAAGCTGGACTAGCTGGGCAATTTTCCTGTCCAGCAGGCTCTTATTATGTTCTTAATTTGATACATAATATATTTAAGGATTAGAAATTCTGCTAAACCATGAAAAGCTTTGGACTATGTTTGAGTTTTGGACTTCTTTTTTTTACAGGTATGGGCAGCAGTTCCTCCCTGGAAACAAGGCACTTTGTCAGAGTTTGTTCTGGCAAGTGGAAATGAGGTAATGAAGCAAAGTATTTAATTTGAGATGAAATGTTTCTGTGCAGCTTCTAAAACCAGTGGGGTTGTTTTTGCATTTTGTCTTAGAATATTTTTTTACTGTTAAAGGAAGAGTCAGAAATTTCCACTGTGATCTGAACTATGCTGTAGCAGATCTCTGTCTCTTCCCTAAATTTAACACTGAACGGGAGGTAAGGTGACATGGCGGAAGGCAGATGAGTGATGGCTACAATTGCACAGTGCTTTATTTCCCCTGCTTGCAAAACAAAGCACTGAACCATAATCTCAACCCTTTGCCAGTGGGTGGGAGGGCCGTGAGCTTGAATTTACAGCTGCTGTATGGCAGCAATGAGTTTTCAGGATCCGATTTCTGAATATATAGTGCAGTGTGTTGCTGCAATGTGAAGACAGAAAGGTCCCATTGTGTGTGGGTAATGCTTACTTGCTACAGTCAACCAGGTGACCTCTTATTCAAAAGGCTGGAGCTACCCTGTCTGAATAGTATTCCGGTCTTTATGAATTTTGATTATCCATATGCAGAAGCAACACGTGAGGTAGGGCATGTTTCTCACATGTGTACACATCTGTAGGGGGGAAAGGATGCATGGTACTGTGTGTGAAAAATGTGTGATTGCCTGTTTTTCCCAGCATTTCAGCTACCAGCCATGTGCATGTGGCAAAATAAGACACATGTACAGTGGTGCCTCGCAAGACGAAATTAATTCGTTCCGCAAGTTTTTTCTTCTTGCGAGTTTTTCGTCTTGCGAAGCACGGTTTCCCATAGGAATGCCTTTGAAAATCAATTAATGCGTTCCTAGGGAAACCGCTTGCCAGGCTGGCGGTGCGGAGAAGGGCTTTTCTCCCCACAGCAAGCCTTCAGGACAGGTACGGGAACAGAGGGGAAGGCGCGCAGCGCTTTCCCTCTGTTCCCGGGGCTTGTGTGGGAGGAGGGTTTTTCCTCCCCACCGCCAACATTCAGAACAGCATTCTGAATGTTGGCGGTGGGAAGGAAAACCCTCCTCCCACCCCAAGTCTTCAGGAAAGCCATCCGAAGCTGGGCGGCGGGAGAAGGTGTCCCCGCCCCCCGCCCGGCATCGGAGCTTCGTTCCGATGCCGGGTGGCGGGAGGAGGCGTTCCCCCCCCCCCGCCCGGCATCGGAGCTTCGTTCCGAAGCCGGGCGGCGGGAGGAGGTCCGAGGACAGTGGGGAAGACGCGCTGCGCTTCCCCGCTGTCCCGGAGATTTCCCTATGGGCTGTCGTCTTGTGAAGCAAGCCCATAGGGAAATTCGTTTTGCGAAGCGCCTCCAAAACGGAAAACCCTTTCGTCTAGCGGGTTTTCCGTCTTGCGAGGCATTCGTCTTGCGGGGTACCACTGTATACAGTTCTGTTTTGTTTGTTCTTTAAATTATACAAGTATTTCCTTTTCTTACATTTTTATATGTTTATGTAGGGGCAAATGATGTGTTTGGAGCAACCCGAAACTGTCCCTCAGCACCTGAAATTTGTATTGAATTAATGCTGCTGCTGCTGCTGCTGCTGCTGCTGCTACTACTACTACTACTACTACTACTACTACTACTAATAATAATAATAATAATAATCTGGGCTGCAGAACTTGGCAATCTTTTCTTTTTTAAAATGTTAAATAGCAAAATCTTTCCGGTTCTTGGATACATGTCTGTTTTCCTCCCTTTCTGCAGATCTCTAAAAAGCCCAGATGTCTCAGCCACACTCAAGCAGCTTCCTTACCTTATGCTGGTCTAACAGCATGGTCTGCCATTCGCCACGCTGGGGGGCTAAATCAGGATAATTGCAGCAATAAGAGGTAAGTTACCAGTTGTTCTGTAAGCAGGAGTTTCATGTAGAGGAAAGGTGGGAAGCCAGTGGCTCTTCAAATGCTGTTGGACTCCCAGCTCCAACAGCCCCAGCCCTCAGGACCAATGGGCAGGGCTTATGTGTTGTCCAACAACAGTGTGAGGGCCACAGTCACTTAATGAGTGAGATAGGTTTCTACATTATATAAACTACTGCAAGCAGTTCCTTGATTATCGTGCATGTTGAAGTGTGTTGGACTTAACACGTTGTGGTTTGGGTGAAGGAGCTCTTGGGCTGGGGTTTTGCCCAGAGTGGGAAGAGGCAAGGAGCCAGTAGGCACTTTGGGGGAAGGTCTGGCGTTGGTAACATCACTAGTGAGTTTAGAGGAGAGTGACAGCAGAACTGGTGTAGAGCAGGGCCCTGCTCTTGCCACTTACCATCTGGCCTGGGGCGGGGCCTGGGGCCTCACAAGGACTGCCTGCTGCCTGCTGCCTGCTGCCCAGGAGGACTCCCCTGAGTGAGTGCTTGAGGGCCCTGCTCTTGCCACTTACCATCTGGCTTGGGGCGGGGCCTGGGGCCTCACAAGGACTGCCTGCTGCTTGCTGCCTGCTGCCCAGGAGGACTCCCCTGAGTGAGTGCTTGAGGGCCCTGCTCTTGCCACTTACCATCTGGCTTGGGGCGGGGCCTGGGGCCTCACAAGGACTGCCTGCTGCTTGCGGCCTGCTGCCCAGGAGGACTCCCCTGAGTGAGTGCCTGAGGGCCCTGCTCCTTCTTGCCACTTACCACCTGGCCTAGGGAGGGCCTGACAGGCCTCACAAGGACTGCTCCTGCCACCTACTATCTGGCCCAGGGTGGGGCATCACAAGGATGGCTGTTGCCACTGATGCTGCTACTGCCCAGGAGGACCCGTAGGGGTGCAGAGTTCTTTTTAACATTTTTTTAAAAAAAAATATTTTCCTTTCCTTTTAGATTTTTTATATATGGAGGTGGGATGGATGTTTGGGTGGGCTTGGGAATTTGTTAGATTTTGATGAATTTGTAATTTTTGCAGTTTTATTTGTATTGTTTTATTGCTTTCTGGGTTGTTTTTGTTTTATTGTTTTAAGGTTTTATTGTTTTAGGCTGCGAAAGAATAACATTAATTGCCATCAATGGAGGCCACTATGAGGCCTGGGATTGCTACCGTGGAGGGGCGAGGGAGGTATGGCGGTGGGGGCAGATGTTATAGGCGAAGGGGATCGAGATATGGATACGCTCGTACCCCTTCCAATCTGCGCCCCATCCCGAGGGACGAGGGTAGGGTGAGCAAGGATTACTCACCTCCGTCACTGGTGCTGTGCAATGCCAGGTCTATAGGCAATAAAACCGCCACGCTGCGAGATTTCTTTATCTCGCAGGGGGTCGACCTGGCTTGTGTGACGGAGACCTGGGTGCGCGAAGGGGCAACAGTTACCTTACGAGAGATGGCGCCCCCGGGTTTCTCCGTCCTCCACCAGTCGCGGACTGTGGGCCGGGGGGGAGGGGTGGCATTATTAATCCGGGAAGATTGTCCTTTCAGGGCTCTACCATCGCCATCGATCCCCGGCATTGAATGTGTTGGCCTAGTGTGGGGCTCCGAGGAGAGCTTGGCTGTCTGGCTGGTGTACCGGCCACCTAGCGCACCAGCAGCCACCCTGTCAGGCCTATTGGAGGCGGTGGCCGGCTGGGCCTTGGAGTTCCCTAACCTATTGGTACTGGGGGACTTCAACATCCATGCTGATGCCACTCCCTCCTCACAGGCTCTGGACCTGGTGTCTTCCATGGCGACACTAGGGCTCTCCCAGTTTGTTTCGGGCCCCACGCATCAAGCAGGCCACACGCTGGATTTGATCTTTGGCGTAGGTATAGATGTGATCATGTCTCCTTCGATGAAGGTGCCATGGTCTGATCACTACGCTCTGAAAGCCAGGATTGACTTTCCGCCCCCACCCTGCTTAGGTGGCAAGCCAATTTGGGCTCGCCCGCGGAGGCTGATGGACCCTGATAGATTCCGTCAGGCCTTGCGGGACCTTGCTCCCCCTGGCGACTCATTGACTGAGCTTGTTGAGGGCTGGAATAGCCAGCTCCTGGCAGCCATCGATGAGATCGCACCTAAGCGCCCTCTGCGACCCCGCAAAAACCGGGCTCCCTGGTTTACCGAGGAGCTCCGGAAAATGAAGCGGGACCTCAGACGGCTAGAGCGAGTATGGCGGGGTGCCCGTGACGGAGCCTCAAGAACATCTTATAGGGCTTTTATGAAAACCTACGAGATGGCGGTGAAGGCTGCTAAGAAGTCATACTTCTCGGCCTCCATTGCATCCGCTAGCTCTCGCCCAGCGCAATTATTTAGTATAATCAGGTCTTTAACGTCCCTTGTGGGACAGCCAAATTTAAATAACAATTTGACACTTAGCTGTGAGGCATTTGCGAGCTTTTTTGCGGAGAAGGTCTTGTTGCTCCGCCATGACCTCCCTGCCAATTTGGATACAATAAAGGAACTGGAGGCCCCTCGACTGTCCTCGGGTCCAGTATTGGACCACTTCGACCGGATATCCCCAGCCGATGTGGACAGACTCCTCCGAGCTGGAAAGCCCACCACCTGTCCTCTCGACCCGTGCCCGTCTTGGCTGATTAGAGCGTGTCCAGACGAGGTGCGGGCCCTCCTGGGGGATATCATCAATTTGTCCCTTGGTACGGGGACATTCCCAGGGGAACTGAAGGAGGCAGTGGTGCGCCCGCTCTTAAAGAAAACATCATTAGATCCTTTAGATCTATCCAATTACCGCCCGGTTTCGAATCTTCCGTTCCTGGGTAAGGTGATTGAGAGAGCGGTTGCCGAACAGCTTGGTGGGTTTCTGGATGAAACATCGGCTTTGGATCCATTCCAGTCCGGCTTCCGCACTGGTCATGGGACCGAGACGGCTCTGGTCGCCCTAACAGATGATCTTCGTAGACAGCTGGATCGAGGCGGGTCGGGGCTGCTGATTCTTCTAGATCTATCAGCAGCTTTCGACATGGTCGATCACGAACTTCTGGACCATCGCCTTGCCGACGTGGGGATCCAGGGCACAGTCCTTCAATGGCTGCGCTCGTTTCTCTCTGGTCGGGGACAGAGGGTGGCGCTTGGGGGGGAATTGTCATCGCGCCACTCCTTGGTGTGTGGAGTACCTCAGGGTGCGATACTCTCCCCGATGCTTTTCAACATCTTTATGCGCCCCCTCGCCCAGCTTGTTCGGAGTTTTGGGCTGGGTTGCCATCAGTATGCCGATGACACCCAACTCTATCTGTTGATGGATGGCCATCCTGACTCGGCCCCAGACACACTGACCAGATGTTTGGAAGCTGTGGCTGGATGGTTACGTGGGAGCCGGTTGAAGCTAAATCCTTCGAAGACAGAGGTCCTGTGGCTAGGGCGGGGCGATATGGGATTGGGGGGGCAACTCCCATCTCTTGCGGGGGCGCAATTAGTACCAGCACCGTCTGTTAAGAGTTTGGGTGTAATCTTCGACGCCTCCCTTTCCATGGAGGCGCAGATTGCAGCTATAACAAAGGCGGCATTTTTCCATCTCCGCCAAGCTAAGCAGTTGGCTCCTTACCTCTCTCGCCCTGACCTAGCCACTGTGATCCACGCGACGGTCACCTCCAGATTAGATTATTGTAACTCGCTCTACGTGGGGCTGCCCTTGAGACTGACCCAGAAACTCCAGCGGGTGCAGAATGCCGCGGCGAGACTCCTTATGGGGTCTTCGCTGCGAGATCACATTCATCCGGTGCTACACCAGCTGCACTGGCTCCCGGTGGAGTACAGGATCAGATTTAAGGTGCTGGTTTTAACCTTTAAAGCCCTATACGGCCTAGGACCCTCGTACCTGCGGGACCGCCTCTCCTGGTATGCCCCACAGAGAAACTTACGGTCTTCAAATAAAAACATCTTGAAGGTCCCAGGCCACAGAGAAGTTAGGCTGGCCTCAACTAGAGCCAGGGCTTTTTCGGCTGTGGCTCCGATCTGGTGGAACACTCTGTCACAAGAGACCAGGGCCCTGCGGGACTTGAGATCTTTCCGCAGGGCCTGCAAGACAGAGTTGTTCCGCCAGGCCTTTGGCCAGGGCACAGCCTGACTCCCTCCCTCGGCAATCTTCGCGGAGCTCTGGCCCAATGGTTGCCAGTGGCCTGAATTAATTAATTTTACAATGAATGATTTTAGAGTGTTGTTTATGTTATACTTTTATACTGTTTTATTGTTGTTAGCCGCCCTGAGCCCGGCTTCGGCTGGGGAGGGCGGGATATAAATAAAATTTATTATTATTATTATTATATCTTATGATAAGAGAACACACCTGAAAGTAAGGTGTCTTCAGGTAGTCTCAGAAGTTAAGGGGTTCTAAAGAGCCTTGGGACCAAGAGGGAAGGGGAAATCCCATTATGTCATATACAAGAAAATGTCATAGTTAAATGAAAAGTTTCTCCTTGGCTTTAGTATGATTTTTTAAAACTAGTTTAGGAGTTATTTATTATCTTTCACCCTCCAGTTTACCTTTCTTTTCCTTTGACTTTGCCCTATATAGACAGAACTATTTAGAAATACATTTTCACAACAAAGACCATAAATTTAACACCTTTGAATTGCTGGGGTATAGAAATGCCTCCTTACCTGGAATTCTTTTCGCTTCACAGAGTATTGATCTTTGGTGCAGCAGGTGGAGTAGGTACCTTTGCTATACAGGTAAATATGTTACAACTAACTACCTTGGCTGATATTTTGGGAAAGCTTAGACTCAAATCCTCTGCAATGAGTGACTAAGAACATCATCCCCCACCCCTCATAATCTTGGAATGGTGAGATAACAGTACTGATTAGTTGAGTTCTTTTTGCCTATCTAGAATGTGTTTTTGAACTGTGACAATACATCTTGCTTGCTTAGATGAAGGATAGAGATGGATTTGTGAGTAAATTAGCATTTGTTGCTGCATGCATTTTTGCTCCTGGTCCATCACTTGCATGTGTAAAAAAGTTACAGATGTTTCATTATTAAGAAAGAAAGAAGAATCAAATGTTAAAGGTACCGAGAGAAGAAATCTCCCAGGACCTATTTGCAGACTCAATGTACTCTTGTTGGATACTATGCCTAAAAGACCCATCCATTTCTCTCAAAATGGGGAATTTCCCAAGAGTGAATGGAAGAGGAAACAAAACCCTTGCTCTGTCTCAGCTGGAGTTGGCAAGGCTGATGGTTTCATGAAGCACCAAATTGGGATCTGAACTTAATTTTGTGACTGGCGCACACCCAAGAGAAAACAGATCAGACCTAGTTAAAAGGCCCTAGAAAGTGGAAATGCCATGATGACACTGGGGTACAGTTAGAGTGCTTCTACTCAGAAGGCTACCTGCCATCTCTTGGATGGTTGAGGAAGCCAGATAAGGACCTCTGATGAAAATTTTACTGTATCACAGGCACATATAGGGACAGGCAGCCCTGTTCCCAAACGACCAAGGTTTTGAATTCAGCTTGAAATCTGTTGTATATATTGGTCCTTTCTAGTTCCTAAAGATCCCTTGAAAGTCCAGTGGTAGATTTTGCCCTTTGCTGATCTACTCCGTGTTGTCTTGGAGGGACCCCATTCCACTCTTTGGAAATCACAGAAAAGCAGTCTTTTGAATTACATGTAATTAAAATATCAAATCTCCTTCCAGAGCTGACATTTTTAAAAATGTGATTTAAAAGTATCCAGGTATAAAATATGAGTACCATCTGTCTGTATATTGTAACGAAACTAAATTCTGAAAGTCAAACTGAGCTTTTTATTTGGGTAGGAAAAATGAGGGTCTGGGGGACAGTAACCCTCCAGAGGAAATTTGGTGAGTACTCAGGGAGTTCCATTGTGCAAGTGGGACGCATTTGTTGGATACCAGCCCTAGTTCTTAAGAACAAAACTGGGGAGGGCAGTTACTGTTACAATCTGCTTTGTGGTCTTTTGTCAGAAACATTTAAACTTAGATGGATTTGGTGGTCTGATCCAAGAAAGCTCTTTCTTTGTTCTTAATGTAAAAACGCCACAGGTGAAACCAGGTGAGCCTTGTCACTTGAAAGGCATCATGCGGTTATGGACCCAGCTCCCTCAGAACAGGATCTGACAGCTCCTGACTCTCAAGTTTGGCCATCTTACTACCAGATGGAAGTACAGTGGTACCTCTGGTGAAGAACTTAATTCGTTCCGGAGGTCTGCTCTTAACCTGAAACTGTTCTTAACCTGAGGTACCACTTTAGCTAATGGGGCCTCCCGCTGCCGCTGTGCAATTTCTGTTCTCATCCTGAGGTAAAGTTCTTAACCCAAGGTACTACTTCCAGGTTAGCGGAGTCTGTAACCCGAAGTGTTGGCAACCTGAGGTGTTTGTAATCCGAGGTACCACTGTAACCAGATTCAGGGGTGGGGGGGCAGGCAGAGGACACAAGATAGTCCCAGCAGTGCCTGGTTGGGTGTCTTTTTCCTAGAACTGTAGAGTTGGAAGTGATCCCAAGGGTCACCTAGTCCCACCCCCTGCAGTGCTGGAATCTCATCTAAAGTATCCAAATCAGAGAGCCATTCAACCTGTGCTTAAAAACCTCCAGTTAAGGAGAGTTTAGCACCTCCTGAGGGAGTCTGCTCCACTCTCAAATAGATCTTACTGTCAGAAAGTTCCTCCTTTCTTGCACAGAACAGCGCCAGATTTAGGGGTGTGGAGGCAGTTCTCCTTCATGGGGTGCTGAGTGGGGGGCGGCAATGCAAATGATGATGGTGGTGATAACAACAACAACAACAACAACAATAATAATAATTCATAGGGGGTTGGACTAGATGACCCTTGTGATCTCCTTCCAACTTTACAATTCTATGATTCTATTATGATTAATAACACTAATAATACTAATCATCTTATAATTTATACAGGTACCTACTGAGAAGATCCATACAAACCCAGCTGTACCAAAATGAATTACTGTGAAAATAAATATCAGGGGTGGGGGAATTTTGCCCTTGCTTAAGGTGCCGTAAGTCTGGCCCTGTTGAGAAGAAATACAAATTTGAGTTAGAGAAGGGCAGTAGTTGTGTGTAACCTGCTGAAAACAAGTCTAGTCAGCTGCTGTGTTTTTTGCACTGTGTCTTCTCATTCAGCTAATGAAAGCCTGGGGTGCTCATGTGACAGCAGTTTGTTCCCAAGATGCCAGTGAACTCGTGAAACGTCTCGGAGCAGATGATGTGATCGACTACAAATCTGGAAGTGTGGAAGAACAGCTGAAAACGTTACCGCTGTATGTATGGGCTAAATCATGAGTGTGCATGGTGAATGTGCACAACCCCAAGTTGGCTGCTAAATTTTTGGGTGGGTTTGAGCAGGTCGCCTGCACCTGAGTCTTCTTTGCTGGTAACTTAGTGAGCAATCTGTACAGGGATCAACTGGGTCGAATCCAGAGGTGGAGCCATCACTGTAGCTGAAGCCTTGCTGCTCACAGCAGCCAGGACAGAAGGTGGTATTTGCTTTGCCGGGTCAGGATTCGGTCCCTCTCTGACTGCTGGACTCACTTAGGATCCAGTAGCTCCGTGACCAACATTATTATTATTAATTAAATTTGTATATTGCCCTTCATCCGAAGATCACAGGTCAGTTCACAACATAAAAATACAACATAAGAACACAAAGTACGTAATGAAAAAAAGAACCAAAACAAACCAATAATTCCCCTCCCGCAAACACATAGCTCTGCCCTCTCCTATTCCACCCTGTTTGGGGATTTTCCACCAGCAGGAAGATCACCAGCAGGAGCTTGTCAGAAATCCACACTGTGAGCACAGCAGGATCTTATGGTGGGAGACCTGCAGGAGGAGACATACAGGGAACCCACCACATCCTAACACTGGGGGCTCGAATTGCCCTGCCCAGACTGTTAATGACTTACATATAAAGACATGTGTATGTAATGTAAAGCATTTGCACATGAAAGCTTTTGAACTTCTTTCTGAGTAGACATGCTTAGATAGCTTTCCTCAAGTTGTTATGTAATTGATTGATACCATCATGGCCGGGACATGGTGTGTTCTTTGGGAGAGAAAGGAAATTGTTCCAATTCATTTTCTTCCTGTTTTATCTCCCTAGGTTTGATTTTATCTTAGATAATGTTGGTGGATCCACTGAAAAATGGGCTCCTGATTTCCTCAAAAAATGGTCAGGAGCCACCTATGTCTCCTTGATAACCCCCTTCTTGGTCAACATGGACAGGCTTGGTGTAGCGGATGGCATGTTACGGACTGGAATGACGTTCGGTTCAAAAACTTTCAAGGTCTGTTAACTAAATCAAATGCTTTAAGCTTCTTACCCATTTGCTGTATGTGAGCAATTGCTTTCCAGTGTGCTGTTTTTTCACCTGCTCTTTAATGTCAGTCATGCTCTAAACTTGTGCTTGCTGTCTGTTACAGCATCTTTGTAAAGGGGTTCATTACCGGTGGGCATTTTTTGCACCAAGCGGCCCTTATCTGGACGAAATAGCTGATCTCGTTGATGCAGGAAAGGTATGTCTGAATTGCTAGTTTTACTTCCCATTATCTGCTATAAACCATGTGCCGTTTGGGTTCAAATGCTTCTTTTGTAACTAAGGAAGAAAGTTTTAGCAACTTCAAGGACTTGGCTGTGGTGCTGCCGTGTTGAGAGTCCTAATAGGGGCTTCTGTGTTGTTGTTTAATTATCTATATAGCGTATCAGCTTACACACAAAAAAGTGTGCCTGGAGGTTAGGACTGCCTTCCAATCTGCTGGAGCATAATCATTTAAATCTGTGAAGATAGATGCTTACAATACATGCAGCACATAACATGCTGTAGCCTTAACTGTCTAGGCAACTGGCTGGTGCACCTGAACATTGCAAAAAAGATTGAACTCTCTCCCCGCCCCCCATCAGCTTATGACCTGAAAGTTCAATCCTCCTTGGGCAGCATCTCCTCCGTCCCCTTTGGGCAGGGCAACACACTTGTCAATCATCTACATCATTATGACCTCAGATGATTGATGGTTTGGCAGTCCTGTTGGCCTTCCTCACCTGTGGACCAGGTGAATATCCTAGTCTTTTAACTATCATGTTATCTTCCATTGTTCAAGCTTTTTGAGTCAGCGCTGCTTAATGGTGATAATTATGCTTGAAATTTGTATAGGTGTTCAAATGTTCCAAGCACTTCACATGCATTATATGCAACAACCCTCTAAGGGAGGTGGAGGGGGGGGCAACACAAGAAGAAGCCTTCTCAGTGGTGGCTCCCCATTTATGGAACGCTCTCTCCAGGGAGGCATGCCTGGTGCCATCACTATCTTTAGGCACCAGGCAGAAACACCCCTGCTCTCCTAGGCTTTTGGATCTTAGTTTTCTTTTAGTAGGGCGTGGATCTGATTTTACATATATATTACTGCCATGTCTTAGGTTGTTCTATTGTTTTTACGCATGCTTTTAATTTTTTATTGGAAAGCTGCTTTGAGTTCTCTTTTCTGAAAAAAAAGATGAGACTTTTTTCTGAAAAAAAAGATGATTTGTAAGAACCACCACCACCCTGTAGGCATCCTTCTTCAGCTTGGGGCCTCCAGTGTTGTTTGATTGCAGATACCATTAGCGACCGCAGGTTGGGGAAGGCTTCTGTAAGGTAATCTGGCATCATTATCCCTTGTATTATGGAAGGGAGGCTGAGAGATAGTGGCTGGCCTAATTGTTCCTAGTGAGTACATGGCAGAGACAAAATTTGAACCAGGGACTTCTTAAGCTCAGTTTCTTAGCTACTGGGCTACCCCAGCTTACAGCATTATACATATTGACTCAGTTTTGTTTGCTGCATACATGGAGTAAATGTGACCTTTTTGCTCTGTTCATATCACTTGCTCTTTCACATTCCAGCCTTCTCTACTGCAGCAAATAGGAAAAAGCTGGCACAGGGATACTTCTCATAATAGCAAGATTCAGTGGCCTCTTTCAGGTGGCGATAGCAAAGACGTCTTTGGCCTAGACATAACCGACAAGCACTGCTATGTAGCCACATGATGTATTGGGGATGCCCCATTCCTCCTGGGTCACCCCTTGCTTCATGCTTGGGAAGAACTCTGCGTATGGAGGAGAAGAAGGGCGTAGCACTAAGTTGTCTGCATAAGTCTCTGAGCAGGTGAAGGCTAATGCTATTGAAAATGCCCATTGTGTGTTTGTGGATGGCTTGGAGCTTCTTTTGTCATAAGGTTTACAAAGAAGGAGAAATGTTTGCTTACCCTCTCATTCTCTCTGTTCAGAGAGAAATCCTTAATACCAAAGTTTTCCTTCTCAGGGCTTTTATGCTTTCCTCATTTGCTTTAGCTTCCTGTAGATCCCTGTAAACAATGCTGAGCCGATATTTTTGATGTACATACATTTATTCCATTGTTCTGGTTTTGTCTGTATACATCGGTAAAGCTGTACTTACAGGAATCTGTAAACTTAATAGGGCAGGGCGAAGAATGAGATAAGCAAAGCATTCTCCAAATTCTAACTTACAAGCTTACTGGCAATTGCTTGCAAAAGCTTGTGGTAAGCATTACTTCTGGGTTTCACATTCTGTTTAAAAACCTGCCCAGTGGAGTCAGTGGAGCTAAATTGGCAGATTATTAAAGCATGTAAGGCATCTAGAACAAGACTGATTAAAACTGGGGTTCTGTCTGTTACCTTCTCACAAAAGTTCAGAGAACGTTTCCAAATGGTGCATTCTGAATAATGATTTCTTTCTGGAATTGGGGCATCTCTTGTTGTGTATTCTTATGAATGCACACTTTCATAAGCTGTGGTTTTATTTAGTGGTGGAAACAGATGTACGCTTAGTATGTTTTCTGCCATAGTCAGCTTGTCCCAACAACAGCTCAGTGACAATTTGGTGCTGACTTTAGGGATCTGGGAAAGGGGCAGACATTGCATTTTGCATCCCAGAGGAGTAATAATTATGAAGTAGATAAAGTGAGGCAGGAAGGGATGTCCTGCATAAAAAGCAAGATTCTTCTGGAGTAGTGAAGGCAGAAAAATGAGATACATCTGAGGGGTCTGCTCTCACACTTCGTTCATCTCTAAGGCAAAAGTGGGGAGCCCTTTTATAACGGTATCCTTTTGCACACTGGCAGTGGGTGGGGCTGGAGCACCCCCTTTTATCTCTCTCTCTGCCAGCCCCTTTCTCCCTTCTTGTTACTCACATAAAATTAGGCTGAGGACTGCATGTGGCTCACCATTGATCTAAATCTGGTCAAATACAGCTAATGAAGCAAATGGTGAAGAGCCTGGAAAGTATCTCCACTGCCTTCCTGCTTCCCTGGAAAGTAGGCCTTTCCCATTGGGAGGGGCAAGATGCCAGTCTGAATGCCTTTCCATGCCATGGAAAAAATACTGGGAGTGGTGGTGTATTAGAAAGAATAGACTTCTGCTTCTTGGGTTGCTCATTGACTTCAGAAGGTAGTGATTTAACCTGTGAATGAGGTATTTGCCTGGATGGGTAGGAATATAGGCGTATTTTTTAAACACCAGGATAAAATATATGCCACTGAGTTGCATTCAACTAAGTCCTGCTTGGAGCAGTTGCCTTGTAATTAATGAACCTATGTTAGTTCTGGCCATTATCTTCTTCTGAGCAGGACTAGCATTGAATGCCACTGCTTGTATCCAACCTCATAAAGATTTTCTGGGCCATGCTTGTGTCATCTGATCCATTGCATTATTGAGTTGCACCTCCTGCCAGCTTCTCACAGCATACTTGCCAATGTTGAGCTACATCTTTCTTTCAGCAGGGCTCGGGGCCTGCCTTCGCAAGTACAAGAGAGCTTTGAAAACGCCCACCTTGCTTGCTGCAGAGCCTTTGTGCATTTCCGCCCCCTTTCCTACCACACTTGGATGGGGTTGCCTCCTTTGACAAGCGTTAATTTAAAGTCAGTAGTCTGGGCAGGCTCCCATGCTAATAATAATAATAATAAAATCAATGAATATGTAGCCTTGTTCTGTTCTGAGGACACTTGGGCCTTCACGTTGCCAACCGTGAGTCATCTTGCTTTTATGCCTCTTGTCATCGTGTGAAATCTGGGGGTAGATCTCTACTGCAGCTTACCTTACTGAATAGCTAGGGGTGTCACCTGCGAAGTCTGTGGTTGAACTATACCCTCAGGCATGAACTCAGTAGGTGGCCATAGACAAGTGCTCTCTATAACCCTACATGCACCCCTTAGCCCCACTGGTTTGGATTAAGGGCCTTATTCGGTTTCTGATTTACATTGCAAATCTATGAAACTGCAACACTTTTCTGGCAAAGAAGGGGAAGTGGGCTCTCGCACTGATCTTTACCCAACATAGGTATTGAAGAGGGAAGCCTCTTCCTCTGCAGAAACATCCTAGCTAGCTCTTGGTTTAGTTTTGCTTGCAGCTTAGTTTCTTTTGTGGGGTTATTTCCAAGACTTGAGAACTGCCTTTCCCCACTTCCGTTTTCTGAATCCTCCATTGGATCCAAGCTATCTTCTGCTAATGGAATGACTCCTTTGGCTCTTTCCCTTGGTAGTGTTGTAGTCCTAGCTAGTTGAGTTAAATTTCAGGGAGCTGGCCAGCCAGCTATGCCCCTTCTGAGGAGACTCCAATCCATTCCCCCTCTCCAACAACCAGTCACCATTCCATGCCCACCGAGTATGGACAGTCCTCACTATTTGGATTTCTTGTTTGGATTTCTTTCCTACCCACACCTCTTCCCCTCATGTTTTGTATTCAGATTTGTCTTTTGGCCTTCTGCAAAGCTTTGGGATCCTGCAAAGCCTGCCATTTCCCTCTCTCTTGTGCACGAATGGTACCATGTTAGCTGTATAAAGATTCACACTCTGCAGATCGAGTGCACTGTTAGTACATGGGAGAATACTTCACAGGTCACTATTATCATGAATGGACAACCAAAAGATACGTGTAACTGGAACTCCGGCTCAATAATTTCACTTCTTTTTTTCAGGCTGGCAGTTCTGTATTGGTGTATGTAATCCCTTCCCTCCCCAGACTTCATGATTTTAATCTCTCTCCTTTGAACAAACAAGTGTTCTGTGGCCAGGGGGCTGATGCGTACTTGTAAACAGATAGTGTTTTCATTGCCTAGTTAATCTCCACTTACTATCACGTCATCACTTGCTGAATGCATTTGTCTGACTTGCCCGCCTGTGCACAGGAAGAAATATTTGTCTTAGTCAGGTTGATTGCAGTAAACACTGAATGACATATTGTGCTGGGTACATGGTCAGCCCTTTTCAGGTTTATTGAAACAATGGGTCGGGATCAGCTGGCCAGATAAAGTGTTTAATGCACCAGATTGCTGTGATCATCAATTGTAGTGTTCATGTCGCTTTTTTGCATTGCTGAGGGTCAACAAGCCCGTCAGACCAGATGTCTGCAACAATGTAGTGTATGAGTTTTCAGCCTTTTGCAGCAGCCTTCAAAAATGATCTTAGTTTAAATTCAAGGGTCTTTCCAACTACACTACTTCACTTGCCTTGTTTTTAAAGAGTGCTGTAAACTTCATGGAATAGTAAGATTGTGCCCCCTAGAGATTAGTCCTGTGAACCACAAGCTATTTTTCCGAAATGGTGTGTGTGATAGATATTTATTCATAGACCTGCAGAGTTGGAAGAGACCACAGGGCCATCAAGCCCAGTCCCCTACAATGCAGAAATATTTTGCCCGAGATTGAGAGTCTCATGTTCTTCCGATTTGAGCAATTGTGTGTGGAATTACTGTATGTTCCTCATTATCCTATTTCACTTTTTTCTGAGCTGCAAGGCTTGTTTTAATGGAAGAACTCATTAGCTTCAATTGTGAAGATCACTTGCAGATTTGATTTGTTTGTAGTCAGCATTAAGGCAGTGGCAGCTGGGAGACTGAAGACTTGCAGTGGGTTTTGTATTGCTAATCCTGAGCATTCATGGCAGCCACCCATTTGGTAAAGAGTGTGATGGAGCCCTCTATGTGCACCAGCTTACATGTTTAGAGCTTCTCCACATGAGGGAGAATCCTGACTAGCTCATGCGCCTGTTGGGCTCATCCACTCTGCCACTGAATCTGTGGGTGCCAGGGTCAGTTGTGATCAGTGCACATTTTATTGCCTTCTGGTGGTGGTGCAGTTCATTAGGACATTTATTTGAATCGCTCCCCCCAAAATATACTCTTAAAGTTTTTTTTTAAAGTGTCAATGCTTATTAAAAGTCCACCTATAGAAGGGAAGGGTTGTAGCTCGTTGTGGAGCATCTGCTGTGTCTGCAGAAGAATCCAGACTCATTTCCCAGCATCTCTAGGTAGGGCTGGGGAAACTTGTTTTTCTGAACTCCAGGAGAGCTGATGCTAGCCACTGTGGACAATACTGAGCTAGATAGACCAATGGTATGACTCTGTATAAAGGTCATATGGTCCACCTGTAGGAGCGAAATGAACTACTGGGGTGCTGACACAAAAGTTTTCTGTTGTTTTTAAAGCCTTGTAGTTATGTGTATAATTAGATGGTGCCAGGATGCGCTTTTCAACCAAACGGAGATAATACATTTATGGGGGGTGGGATTACTGTTCTAAATGTTGGGTCCTTCCTTCTTGCTCCCCTCCCATTTTCTTCTTCCAAAATATTGGAAGAAAGAGCAGATAAACCTGGAAGCAAAGGGCTGTTTATATTGTGCATGTGTTTTACAAAGTGTTTGGCTTCATCTACTCCAGATAAATAACTGCTTGAAGTGTGTGGGGCATCACTAAAAATATCTGCAGCTTTTGTTTTTCATTTAGTTAAAAATGATACACCTGATCATGTGTTTTGCCCTTTTCTAGATCTTCATGATCTTCTCCTATAATTGATTGCTTTTGTACCAATAAGGGTACAATATTGAAAGGAAAACCTGCATTCTCTTTCTTGAGAAATGCTTTATTTCTGCAGAGGTATAATATTTAGTCCTCTTGAGGTGCATAGCTACAGTGATGCACAATCTGTAGGGGAAGCAGGCTAGTTTCAAGCAAACTGAAAATGTTTGCTACTATCTTTTAATGCTATATGCTAATATTTTTGTTGTGGGTTTGTGCTGTTGTGCTGTATACAAACTATTAGAATAACAATGTATTTCCACCCCCCTGCAGATACATCCAGTTATTGATCAAGTTTTCTCCTTTTCTGATGTTCCCAAGGCCTTCCAGAAGATGGAAGAAGGGCATGCACGTGGAAAAACGGTGATTAATGTAACAGATAAATAAATATTTTCTGTCTAGGTACTCTGATTTCTGTGAAATTTCTTTAGTTCCTATGTGAGCTTTCTTACATGGGACTTTGGTAAGCTACTAATTTCTAGAGGTTAATGCTCTGTTACTGCAGCAGCAATAGAATTCTTATTTTGAAATGATTTTTTGTTATGACACCATGAAACATGGTCATTAAATGCACAGTCTTTAGGAAGCAAAAATGTAACGTTTTCATAAAACTTATTGAAGACAGGCTGGAAAACCCTTAAGGTGTATGGAAAGGGATATTTAAAAAGCTTTTTGTTTTGGCTAAGGATTCACATTAATGCTTTGCTTCTGTAGATACCCTTGGCATCAACAGTGTATGAACTGTCAATCACTTGTGTATGTGCAGAATCACTGTGAGAAAAGTGTAATAGGTCTATCCTCTTTCCCCCCACACTGGAGGCAAGTCTTTTCAGTTTTTATAGCCATATCTCATGAAGCTAATACCGACTGCTTCATGATAGCTGAAAGACTTTTGCTAATCCTGCCCCCATAATTATCCCTCTATGCTCCATTTTGTGCCACGCTCAGACTCAGAATAACTTATTGGCCCTGTAGAGAACGGCTGTAATATGCTATTTTTATCAGCAGTCTATTATTACTGCTCTTCATCTATGCTCCCTGCAACTTTTGCCAGAACTTGGAGCTGTTTGTAAACATACACAATAGAATTCATCAGAATAATATTTATTTGTAAAATATGTTTATACAATAGTTTGGGGCACAGAAAAATGTTTATTTTTAAGTAACACACCTTAAAACCAAGTTTCAAAGAAATAAGCAGCAGGTTCTTATCAAGAACACTAGAAATATTTTAACCAAAAGCAATAATTTGTACAGCAGATTGAAGTGGAAGTGTGCTAATTTCCTAATAAACAAATTAACAAAATAGTGTTGTCTAACCAAGTCAGTGCAGAATTGGAAAATCCTAACAGCTTTTCAGGACACTTGACAGAGCATCCCAGGTGTGCAAGTAGCAATAGTATTAAGTGGTTTGCATCAGAACGTTCAAGATCAAAGTAATAGAAATAACAGAATAATCTTCACACTAGGAAAGAGTAGTAACAGAAATAACAGAATAATCTTCACACTAGGAAAGAGTAGTAACAGAAATAACAGAATAATCTTCACACTAGGAAAGAGTAGTAACAGAAATAACAGAATAATCTTCACACTAGGAAAGAGTAGTAACAGAAATAACAGAATAATCTTCACACTAGGAAAGAGTAGTAACAGAAATAACAGAATAATCTTCACACTAGGAAAGAGTAGTAACAGAAATAACAGAATAATCTTCACACTAGGAAAGAGTAGTACTTTAAGAGCTATCTTAAGTTTCTATATATAAAACCTATTTCTGTTTTCTCTTGGAAAATTGCTTTGGTTTGCTAGAGATGCCTAGGTACCAAGCATCTATTATATTTGTCAGGAGAATGCAAGCTTCTCCATGACTGCCTCTAACATGCGAGTTTTCCTGTAGTTGAATACTCAAGGAATTCAAAATGTTCCCACCTTAGCATATAGGTAGTCAATTTGCTGGGACTACTTTATAGAATGGCTGCAACTCCTCTAGACTGTTTTTCACCTGAACAGTATGGTGTTAGTGTTTTTCAGGGGACAATTTGGATTATTGTGGAATTCAGATAAAATTTGTACTTAATCACACAAGCTATTGCTGTGGGTTTTCAAATGCAGCAATGTCTGCCCTACATGCTAAGATGGGAAACAAACAGGATGGGTTGTAAAGCAGGGTACAGAAGTAAAGAGCTTAACACTGAAATAACTCTGAATACATTATCAGTAGTATAAAACTAACATGAAAATTTAGGCAACAATTTTCATCCAAGAAATTTTAGGGCACAGAAGTTGGGAAGCAAACAGTTGTTGGTGGTGCAGCTGCTTGAAAAGAGAGAATTACTATGCTAGCAAAGCCAGATTTTATGGAATAGTATTTCCTCTTGCATTTCAAAAGTGGTACATTTTGACCTTTAACAAAGAGTTACTAAGGGCTCATTCACACTTCTGCTTGTCCCATACTTTGATGGGTTATCTGTTTGCTCCACTGCCCTCCCTGGGAAAACCCACACTTTAGCACTGAATCAGAAAATATGAGTGACATTTACTCCAATTCAGTGCTAAATTATTGGCTATGGGAAAGTGGTGAGACAAGCAGAAGTCTGGATGAGTCCCACGTTGTATAAAGTAAGGCAGACATGCAGATTTTTAAGGAACTGAGCAGCTTATTTGGCAACCTATTCTATCTGGCAGCAAATGTTTATGGAATATGCATTTGTCTTTGATACAAAAGTACAACCACAGGCTTAAGAGTGTACTTTAATACATTTGACTGTGATGCTGTAACTCCATTTTAAAAATTGCCTGATTTGATTGGGTTCATTTTATGAGTAAACGGTTCATTATATTTGGTCCAAACAGAATAGCTGCAGGCAAATTTTCAGTAAAAAAAATTCCAGTGCAAAAATGTAAATTCTGTTTCAGCATGAAGCCAATGAGAATAAAACAAGTCTTTGTAAATAATTTAAAATACCAGATTAAAATGTATTCTGAATAACTTATCAATGATGTATAATAACTGCTTGCAATATGTTTTAACCTTTGAATAACAAATAGGAAAGGGGGTAGGTCTCTCGGTCTTAATCCAAGGGTACAAACAGCATTCACTCACTCACTCAAATTCTGTTAATTGTTTTTAAAAATTACTGTGAAGACTGCTCCAATGTCCTGTTTTCTGCCAGTCTTCATAAAGTTGATGGAACTGATTCTTAGTCTGTGCCATTTATACGACCAGCAGTTCCCAGCACTGTGTTGGCCTGTCTTCGCTGGCTGAACTGAGAACGAGGTGGTTTTGATCATAGTGCTTCCCACCTAAAATTAAACAATAGTTTCAGTATAGCATTTGTGAGCGAAAACAAATCTTTGATGCATCACTGAATCCCCCCAATTCCTCTACTTGCTGTCTTCCTGCAGGATGGCATTCTTGTTTCTGTGCAGTCTCCTCTCAAGACAACATTTGCTTCCCTGCACCCTAGCTGCCATGCAAATTTATCTTGCAACCTGCAAGTATACATGACTTACTGGTTATCAGAAATTCTAATCCTCAGTCTAAGATGTGCCCAATCTATGAAGTATAATGCTATGTGTTTACTTATCTAGCAGATATTCCCTACTGTAAGAGGCTTACACATAAATCAATTTCTTTAATAACCAGGAACTATGAGCTTAGTCTGAGATAGCTATGATCAAAGTCCTAACTTGTTGCATAGAAGGTGAGTCATGACTTTGGTTTGACTGGGTCCACTGGGGTAAATCTCAAGGAATTCAACGTCACACTTTGATGGATGTTGCATCTGTGAAAACATTTCAACATGCCAGATGGAATGATCCCCCCCTCCTCTCCGTTCCGGGGGTTTTCCCAACCCCACTGAGCCAGTTTGAGGGGGCAGCAGAGAGGGGGGAAACCCTATTGTTCAAGGCTTCCATTGATGGTGCTTTTAAGTGGATCCTGCTGTTTTTTTTAAAAAAAGCATTCTTGCTCTATTATTCCACAGAAAAAGGTTTTATGGGGAAATGTAGGGTGGTTGTTTTTTGCTACATTTACATCCTACCTGTCTTCCAAGATAGAACTTCAAGGTGGCATAGACAGGCTTTTCAGGCCATTCCCCATGGTTTTCAACCAAACCATACCTATTGTCATTATTTATTAAATTTATATACTGCCTTTCATCCAAAGTTCACAGGGCAGCTTACAACATAAAACACAATAAACACAAAAAATGCGTAACAACCAAAAAAATCCCAGGCACATTAAAAAGGCCATAGATTGTTCTATCAGCCAAAGACTGAATATTTTCACTTGGTGCCTAAAGATTTGTAATGAAGGTGCTGGGCAAGCCTCCCTGAGGAGAGCATTCTGCAAAGGGGGAGCCACTGCAGAAAAGGTAGAATGTTGCATCTATTTAGAATGTTGCATTGCATTAACGTGAGACCATGCCCTGAAAACGTGGCTGATCATACTAGAGTTTAGACTGTGTATACAGTGGTGCCTCGCAAGACGAAATTAATTCATTCTGCGAGTTTTGTCATCTTGCGATTTTTTTCGTCTTGCGAAGCACGGTGTCGGAAAAGTTTTGGAAAAGCTTCAAAAATCACCAAAGTCTTCAAAAACCTCAAAAAAGCCTACCACACCGCGTGCTATGAGTTGCTCCTCGAAGTCAAGTCGCAACTGTATTAACGGTTTCAAGAAAAAGGAAACAAACTTGCAAGACGTTTCCGTCTTGCAAAGCAAGCCCATAGGGAAAATCGTCTTGCGAGGCAACTCAAAAAACAAAAACCCTTTCGTCTAGCGAGTTTCCCGTCTTGCGATGCACCACTGTATATCATATGATAATTTGTGTTATTAAATTTTAAACAGGCATTTGCCTATGTTGATAATCATTAATGCTTGTATATCTTTTGAGTATCTACTCTGAAATCCTTGCATCTCACCTCTATGGACTCAAAATTATATATCATGTTCACAACTGATCAAGGGGACTTTTATGAGAGGATGCTTACTACTCAAAGTGACTAGCTCTTTACGCGCAAAGGAATGCTATTTAACTAACAAAATGTAAATTGGCATTCTCAAAGTAGACTGCAGGACATCATCCGATTCTTCGTGACCCCATGGACACGACTAAACGACAACAAATTTGGCATTTAATTTACACATCAATAATAAAAACAATACTGCTTTCTCCAAATGTTGTATTGTAGATTTCCATTGGCAAGAAACTTGTCTGGAAAAGTATGAGCCGTGGAACATCATGTGGTAGAAACTATGGGAACAGTTTTGGTTATTTTATAAATTACTCAAGATGGTTTTTTGCAGTAGCTAGTAGTGAACAAGTGGATCAAGTTTTGTTTGTTACAGAAAAAGTCCATCT